AAGAGGGCGCAGGAATGTAAATGCGATCCAGGGTCCTTCCCACCTTCCCAAAAACACATCTCTGTGCTTCTTCCCCGAAGGACACAGCCTGGAAGACTGAATGCTCCCCAGCCCTGAGGTGGACATCAGGAGCCCCTTCCTGGAACTCAGAACTAGAGCAGAGGGTGAGCAAGACACTCCCACCAAGCAACAGCGGTGTCCTGAGCCTCTGCTCCCACCCCTGCCGTGCTGGGGTTCAGGGCTCCTGGCCTCTGCTCCCTCCCAAGTCTGGCCTTCCAGCTGCCCTGCAACTCTGTTACCACCAGCCCACCCCTATCCCACCATTTCAATCTCTGTCTGCCAGGGGCCATTTTCTGTCAAGTTCGTTCTCATAGCTCACAACCAAAGCCCCCTAAATGACAAGGAACCCTGATGCAGAGCAGGACCCAGCTGAGGGGCTTCAGTGGCTGTATCCTAGAAAACATGTGGCCACAGCTCTGCCTGGGCCTTCTACACGCCACCTGCCATCCTGCCCTCAATTCCTTACTGGGAAGAGGCCTGGATGTCAAGGCCACTGCCTGATCCTGAGCAGATTCCTGACCATCCATCACCTCCTGCCATGCCCAGGGCCATGAGCCCACCTCTTCAGACCTCTTCTCCAGACCAGCTTTCTCCAGGCCCCTTCCCCGCAGCCCATAGCCTCCCCATTTTTAATGCCTGGCCCCCCCATCGCTTCTCGGCCTTTTGGCTAAGATCAAGTGTAGTATCTGTTCTTATCAGTTTAATGCCTGGCCCCAGGCTCCTCCCACTGGGGTATGCTTTCTTCAGAAATGTCTTTCCCTCCCTCCCCCACACTGGATCTGGGATGTGAAACCAAACATCACTTCTCCGGCCTCATCCCGCTTGACCCGCCCATGGCCTTTACACAGGCTACCACCACTACTTTCTCCTTTCTGAACTCCTTGGTGGTTAACTCAACACCATTCCTCACCATGCCCCTTCTCAGCCTCCCTCCCAGCTTCACCCGCCCTATACACACGGCCACCGCCATCCCCAGTTCCAACCTCAGCCTTCTGCCCTTCCTCCTCCTCACACGCATTTCCCACCCCTTCATAACACTGACATCTCCCGTATCGCCACCCAAGCCTCTCCTTGGCTCCAGACCCCCACAGTACACACCTCCATGTCCCAGACTCTGTTCTAGGTGCTGGAAATACATCAGCAAATAGGACAGATAGCTCTCAGCCCTTAGGAAGTTTACATACTACTGTAGGGGAAATCCACAGTGAGCAAACAAGGTAATTTCAGATATCAACAGATCCTTTAAAGAAAATCAAACTGGGTGATGCAATGGGGAGTGGTTGGGGGTGGCGGGGATGTGCTTTAGTTAGGAGAAGTGCTGACATTTTAGTTTGAGGTTTGAATGATGAAAAGGTGCAACGAGGAGAAGAGAATTCCAGGGGGAGGGAATGACAAAGGCCCTGAGGTAAGACCATGTTTGATTGTGCAAGGGACAAACTGAAGGGCATGAGGGCCAGACCCCACAGGATGCTGGAGGCCGCAGGGAGGAGCCTGGACTGTATTCTAGAGAGAAACAACTGGAAGGCTCTTACAAGTTGGGCGTTACAAGTTTTCTTTCCATTCAAACAAAAAAGTCTCTGGGACTATTTCATAGGCACCTCCCTCAGGCCACCTTGACCTAAACCTACAACCCCCCCTTCACCTCCAAATGGCCCAGTCACAGGACTTCCCCTGAAGCCTCCCTCACTTTTCCTACCCCCCAACACCTCAGCTTTGCCCCAGCCCTCCTCTCTGGTCTCCCCACCTCAAACCCCTGCCCCTCTCCCACCCTCCCCATGGCAGCCAGGCAGATTTGCCTCTAATACAAGCGACAGAACAGACCCATCACCTAGCAATGATGCCCTCACTGCACTGATCCACATGGGCCTCAACATAAAACTCATACTCTGCCCCAGCTCACGGGCCCTTGAACAAGCCTGGGTCTCTCACATCTGTCCCATCTTGGAATTTGGGGGCTCCCTCTGCTCAATGCTCTGCCTTACCTCCACCCACTGCCCACTGGGCTGTCACCTTGGCTCTGCATTTACTGGCTGTGTGACCACATTAAATGACTTAACTTCTCTGTGCCTGTTCCCTTATGTGTAAACTGTGATAGAAAATAATGTAGCCTCAAGAATACAGTAAGTTAGAATTCATTTAATCTGCCTAACCCTGAGGGGCAGGCTTCATTATCACCCTGTCCCAAGCAAAGAAGCAGAGCCCCAGAGAGAAGGGACTTGCCCACAGTCTCACAGCTAGGCCTGCTACACCCAGGCCTCCAGACTCCCCATCAGTAGTCTCTGCACATATCCCACACCCTCTGAGAGCTAAGCACTGCTGGGGCGAAAGGATACCTATACACGCTTGGCTGCATTGGCAGGATGCGGGTAAAGGGCAGTGCCATTGAGTCCTGCTGAACAAAACTGAATAGGCCTGGCATTTTGACCAAGGTAGCAGGAGCAGAGACTGCAGAGGCAGCAAGCAGCCTTGGAGAGATGGTATGGGGGAGGAAGAGGGAAAGATGACTTGGCAGGGCCCAGGGGCACAGATGCCACCCTGGGAGGGGCACCAGCAGCTCCCTGTTCAGGACAGGGGAGCCCCACCCTGGAGCCTCGGTTGGGTCAGCAGTGGAATGTAGAATCGTTCCCCAGGGCCAGCTCCAGGTCTCTCAACAGGGGAGATTTCTCCCCTTCCCCCAGGACGCTGGCTTTGGCCCTTTCAGCCCCAAGGCCTCCTAGAAAGGGGCTGGGATGAAGGGGCTTTGGCCCAGCCCACTTTGTCCGAGCTTAAGGTGAGGCACCAGGCCCAGGTGCTGGAGGAGTGAGGGGGCAGAAGGGACCTGGCCCTTCCCTTCGCACAAGACTCGCCTCCCTAAATCAAGGGTAGGGTGCAGCGCGTACCCCACACCGCAGGGTATCAAAGAGGGCTGAGCAGGAGAGAGGGCAACCCGCACCACGCGTGCCCCTGGGGCCTTTTAAGGAAACACTGCCCCTTCTCCGCCAGGCCTTGGGAAGACACAGGGAGACTCCCCATCCCATCCCAGGCGTAGCTGGGACCCGCCCCCCTGCAATCTGGGCTTCCCGGCAATTCCTTCTGGTGGTCCTGGGGATGGGCGTGGAGGTAGGGGTGGGAGGAAGGAATGGGGAGACCGTCCCAAGCCCTTGTGGCAGGGTGAGGTCTATCCCCAGTGGGGGACTGAACCTCCTCCCGTCACCCACAGCACAGGGCCCGGAACCCACCCGGCGCTCACCCAGAAGACAATGTTGAAGCCAAACAGGAAGTATTTCCCGCAGCAGCCGACCTCGGGTTCCTGGAAGTGCTGGTGCTTGCCGGGCATGGTGAGTGGCCGCCCGCCGGCCCGGGAACCGGAGCTGGAGGCCAGGCCCAGCCCCCCGCGGGCCGCCCTGGGCTGGAGCCGCCCGGGGCCTAGCCGGGCGGCTGCGGGTTCATGGCCTCGGCCACACCGAGCGCCCGTCGGGCCCCGCCCTCCCCGCAGGGACCGCCCCCGGCGCCGGGGCTGCCCAGCTCCGAGCCCGCTGAGTACCCTCAGAGCCCTAGCAGCCCCTAGGCCTGTCTCCGCCCCTGCCCCGGGCCCCGCCCCCAGCGCGACTCAGTCCCCCTCGGTACCCTGCTTCTGGGCCTGGCCCCGCCCACAGACGGGCTCCGCCCCCCAGCTCGCTGCACACGCAGAGCGGCAGAGAGTGCCCAGGCGTCCTTTAAACTGCCAGAGAGGCTCACTAATGGCCGCGCAAACCGCATGGAAGGATCCCCCAGTTCCCCCCGCCCCGCAAGGCTCAAGCCGGCGCCATCACAATCCCCGGCCTTGCTGTGGGAGCCCATCTCTAGATGTAACTACGGCGCTGGTAAGCAGATGGGGATTCGACTCGTGTTCTTATCACACGTGCAGGACATTTTATTACAGTGGAATCGAATCAGACGCGCGTTTCACTTTCCGGAAATTCACCCCTACCTATACTGGCTCAAACTCGGGCCAGACGACCGACGCCCGGCTCTTTTGAGTGCTGTGCTGGTTGCTCTTTCAGTTTTGCAGGGGTCATACACCCCACCCTCAGCCCAAGCCCCTTTGTCACTTGGAGCCCCCCAGTCTTACCCCTCTCCCCCATCCCAGCTTGGGCCTGATCGGCTCCTTGGTACCAGGGAGTCTCACATAAGCCCCTTCAAGGACTGGAGCAGATCGAGGTTTGAGGGGGACTGAATCTTACTCAGTGTTAGAGCCCTCCCTAAAAATCATTCCCATTTTGTTCAAACGTGAGTATTTAGAACAGGAACGGAACAGAAAGGGACCATGGTGAGGCCTGACCATAACCCTCTACCTCTCGTAGGTGGGGCCCCTACCTACCCTCCTCCTCTTAAGCCCCGCCCTGAGACAGGCAAGGCTTAGCCACGCAGGGCTGTCTCCCTCAGCTCTACACATATCCCTCTGTGAGATGCTCTGCCTCTCAACCGCCAGCCTTTGGGGGTGGGGGCACAGCCCTACTCCAGGGAAGATATGGGATTCAGGGTGGGCTCCAAGGCTACAGATCTGATGCCGCAATGCACAAAGGCTTTTCAGCACAGTGATCACCAAGAGGAGGGGCCCCCACTCCTGTCCCTGCACTCTAGCTCTCAGAGTATCAGTGGCCTTAAGCCCCCCGACCCCAAAATGGAAGAGTCTGGCCCCCAGGCCACCTAGCCAGCCCCCTACCAGGGTAGTCACAGAGTAAGTGCTGGATCATAGGGTTCTCTTCTGACATCTTTCCACCTGTGGTTGAGCCCTCCTTCCCCCGCCCCGTGATATATATATATATATATATATATATATATATATATATATATATATATATATATATATATATATATATNTATATATATATATATGTATGTATATATATATATATGTGTATATATATATGTGTATATATATATATATATATATATATATATATATATATATTCCCCCCTCCGTAAAACAAGGAAACCCAGGGATTTCCTCCACCTTTCCGCTGCTCTGGGTCCTCAGCCTGTCTCCCTTCCCTCCTCCCCTCTCCCCTACCGCCCCAACCAGCACCACCAACACCTACAGACTAGAGCCTGGGCCCCAACTCATGTTAAAAGGTGTTCCTGTTCACTCTAGAACAGGTGAGAACCAGGCCCTCTGCCCCTCCAGTCCTGCCCAGGATCGACACTCAGCAGTGAGAGGCTCAGGGGCGGTTGAATAGGGAGTGGTACCACGGCCCTCTCACATCACAAACTTGTTCTTGAGTAGGGTGTTGTTCTTGAGTAGGGTGTTGCTCTTGGTGGCCGTGTCTGCATGGGCCTGATACCCAATGATCATCTTTGGGGGGAGTCCCAAGCACTCTTTGTAGACATGCCTGCGGGGGGGGGGGGGGTGAGGGAAAGAGGAAATAGGCAGGCAGTCCGTAGCGGGTCATGGAGATAACCTGGGACCCTGGGTCCTTTGTCCAGAGCTCCTACCCTGGTTCCAGCCACAGTCAAAGCTGTTTTGTGTCTTGGCCATGTGAAACCCAAAATGGGACTAATGCAAAAGAAAACAGTCCTGCTAGAAATAGTTTGAAATCTAGATTCCAAACCCTTTGTACATGTGTGTAAGTCAGAAAGGGGAGACGGCAAGGGGAGTCCCAGAGGTCTCCCTTGCAGGACAAGCCAGTTCCATTTCGCCTTCTCCCCTAGAAGAGACCCAGCCCGCCCCCCCACACACACACACACACACACATCCCAGAGACATCCTCACCCAATGTGGATCACGCCCGTCCGGTTCTCTGCCTCCTGAGTCCACACGGCAATCTTGTCCCCCTTGGTACGGATATTGATGACAGCCCCACACACCTCTCGGCTGTACTCCCCAAAGCTCTCCCCAATGACACACAGCAGCTGGGGCCAAAAAAGGGAATGATGAGACCTCCAGCTGTGGTACAAGGACTGCATTTGCCATCCTTGAGACCACTGCCACCACAGTCCCATACCAGCTCTGCCCTTTTCTTTGGGGACCCTCCCTTCCCAGCCCCCCCTACTCACTGTCTCTAGCCACAGGTGGTCCAGCTCCATGTGGCGCTGCTGTTTGGAGAGGCTGACCAGCCAGCGGCCACCCCGCTTATTCCTGGGGTCTTCCCACATGGGCTCGATGCCATCCTGGGACACGAATGGCAAATCCATTGCCTTCCTATGTTCAAAGGGAAGTGGGGGCACAACCCTGCCCCCACTAGGCCGGCCCCTCAGTAGGCTTCTACAAGCCAACTTCTCTCTTACCTCCATTTCCTTTGTACAGGCAAGTGCTACCACCAGCCATTCAGCCCCCAGACCCACCTCTGAGCTCCCCCAGGCCCCTGAGCCTCAACATTTGTCACCTTTTATAGCCTTGCATGTATGTGTGTTTGTCTCCTTTACTGATCAGAGTTTCTTAAGACAACAGTTCAATGGGGGTGACGAACGAAGCCTCTGGGGCAACCCCATTGTGGGCCAGGACAGACATCCCAGGCTCGGCTGGGTACAAGGTCACCCGGGAAATCTAAACACTGATGTCAGGGCCCTAGCCCACACACCTGCTGGGTCAGCACCTCCAGGGATGGGCCTGGACCTTAATGAGCAGTAGCCTCCGGCAATTCTGATGCCTGTTTCTAGTGAAGGAGCTGAGCCAGGCCAGAAACCTGGGCTCCTTTCTTGTTCCCCCTCCTCCCCCCCTCCACCCCCCTTCCAGACTCTTCGGTGTCCTTCAAGGTGCAGCTCAGATCTGACACTTTGTCCAAGCTTCTGTATAGCATTTCTTCAATCGGAAGTCAGCTCTGAGGGAGGCTGTCCTCAACACCCCACCCCAATAACTCCTATAAAGGAGTAATGCAGAGATGCTGGGGAAAATCAGCCCCCCTGTGCCTGGAGCAGGGGATGGGGTGGGGGAACCAGAGCTTACCTTGAACAGGGAATAGTCACAGCCGGGGGAGAGCTTACTGGGCAGCTGGGTGTGATTGTACACCCTGGAAAGAGACCCCCAGCTCAGGCTGAAAGTCCAAGCTGGCCTCAGCCCCCTCAAGTTCTCACCAGACTCCACTGCTTTCCACCTAGCTTCCAGCCTCCAAGCCCTTACACTGGCGCCCCCTCCTGGAATTCCATCACTACTTACCCAAACCCTCAAATCCCACCTCCTCCCTGGAGCCTTCCCTGACCCGACCATCAAAGCCCCAGGCCTTCTCACCTGCCCCTGGGGTTTGCACAGCTCCTTTCAGATCCCCTCACTTGACCCCCCCACGGACAGTATGAGGCAGCCTCATCCTCACTTTGTGGTTGAGACAAGCTCTGAGACGGAAAGGAACTTGCCCAGGATCACAAAGCACGGAGTGGCAGGGTCAAGATCAACTCCTTGCTTCTTCCACATCCCGGGCTGTCTCCCTAAGCCCCAAGAAGGCTTCAGGGGGCCTGTGCCCCAGCCTCAATGCCCCCACATAACCCACCAAGCCCCAGCCTCACTAATGGCCCCAGGGAGGGCTAGGAAAGTGTGTAGGAAGCAGCCTCCTGAAGAGGTGGCTTCTGGGAAGGATCCCGAGCTCAGAGCCCCTTGACCGCAGCCTCCACCATAAGGGGCAGAACTCACGCCCAGAAGTCTTCCACAGTGTCAAACTTGGTGACCAGATGTAGGTTGTCCTGCCAGGCCCGGCTGCGGTCATTCTTGAAGAACCACAGAGCCCACCTGGGGGGAGGGGTGGCCAAGAGGAAGCAGAGAGCCCCCATGCCCACTGGGCTGGCAGGGAAGTCTCATCCCTTCAAAGACAAACTGGGAGACGGGATTTGGGGGTACAGGCCCCCGAAGGTGACTGGAGTCAGTTATCCTGAAGGGCCAGGGACTGGAGGACAAGTAGAGGCATTTCACCCAGAATCCCCACTGGGTTAAGGTTGGAAGGGCCAACAGGGCCCAAGTCTTAGGCCAGCTCTGGCCTTCCCCAGTGAGGAACTGGGGCCACCAGAGGAAAGGGTGGTCCAACACACAGAGCAGGGGCTGCCCTACCTGCTCTGCAGCCGGTGCAACTCCAGCTTGACCTCCACAGGGCCCTCATCCTGGGCCTTCCTCCTGGGGGACAGGAGGTCCCTGGGAGAGTCCGGAGCCTCCTCTTCCATTGAGGCCCCTGCTGCTGCTGCTGCCGCAGCTGCCACCTCTTCTTCTTCCTCTTTCTCCCACTTTTGGATTCCACCCTCAGCCTCACTGTCCTGACCAAAGAAAGGAATCAGAGTGGACTGTGAGCATGGCCGGCTCCAGCCCCATCCCTTGCTGCAGGACCTGGGGACTTACGGAGTTGGCGGTGGCCATGCTGTGGCAACTGAGGCTCCACCAGAGAGCCTGCCCCAGCTGCTGCTTTTTAACCCACCAGCGCCCCGCCCGGCCAGACTAGGGGTGGGGCGGAGCTAGTTATACTTTTCCTTCTAAAAGCAAGTGTGCAGGCTCAGGGCTGGGGACAGGGCTGTGACCAGGGGAGCCCAGCCTGCCCACATGGAGCTGGCCCTGTGGGGGCTGACACAGAAAGGTAAGGGTCAATGTTAGGGATCTGCCCTGGGTGAAACCATGCCCCCTCAAGAGTGAGCCCTGAATTTAAAGGGGCTGTTCCAGAGGTGGCAGAAGCAGTGACTCAGACATAGCCAGGGCGAGGACAGGTCAGACATTATACATGCATTGTGGTATCTCCTTGTTTGTCTCTGCTGCCATTCACCCCCTCGATTTGGCACAAAGTGTGATCTGACACAAGCATTTATCTGGTCTCTGAACGTATCTAAGTTTATTTTAAATGTAATCATTCAGAAAAGGGAAATTATATATTAAAAATCCACATTTAGGGTTTCTCTTGAAAATGTGGGAAGGTCTGGCAACACTGGGGCCTCCATCTCACAGGCCCACGATCCATGGCGGCGGAGGCAGGTGAGGCTCCACAGGCCCCGCAGGCCCACCACACTCCTGGCCTATGGGAGTATCCCCCACCTGGGTATGGATGGCAAGGGGCAGCGCCACACAGCCCGGGTTCAAGTCCCACCTGCTGTGACCTCAACCATGTTACTGAATGAACCACATTGAGTCTATTTCCCGATCTGTAAGATGGGAATGTCATCATACACAACTCAAGCTTATTGTATTAAGTGGTATAAAACACAAAGCCCATAGAGGAAGGCCTGGCCCAGAAGTCATAGAAATCACCTGAGGGCCACCCCAGGGTAGGGAAGCGACTGGGAAAGGGAGGAAGAGGAGGGAGGGGAGGGAAAGCTCTGGCTCAGGACACCCTCTCCCAACCTTCTGAATAGCACCCTTTTCTGGAGGGGCTGGAGCCTCCCCAAGTTTCTTAAGGTTTCTCACCCTCCCCTTGGCCACTTTTAGGGGCCCAGATCTGTAAGGGGGCCAGTCTCTCCCCTCCCCCACACCCATGGATGCCCATGACCACCTGGAGGCTGACAGTCACTATGTGTTCAACCCCCATCCCCTAAGTGCCAGGTAAGTGCCAGGCACAGGGTTACATGCTAGGAGGTGATGAGGAGCAGAAACTGGGTGGCCCCAGTGCTCTGCTCTATCAGGGAGCCCGATATCAGATGATCTCACAAGGACCACATCATTTGTAATCACAGATGCAGACCCCTGAAGGAAAGCAATTTGCAGGTGGAGAAAATAAAGTCCATGACCTGAACCAGAAGCTTTAGAACCGCAGTTCTCAAGTGCATGGATCAGAATCACCTGCAAGCCTTGTTAAACCTCAGGGCCCTGGCCCAGAATTTCTGATTCCTTAGCACTGGGCTCAGGCCTGAGAACTGGCATTTCCAGCAAGTTCCCTGATGATGCTGGTCAGGGACCCCATTTTGAGAACCACCGGCTTAGAGGCAGTTGGCGGCACAGCTGATGCTTGAGCAGAGACCTAAAGCAGGAGTGAGAGTTAACCAGGTGGGTGGGGGGCATCTCAGGGTGGGGAGCAGCACAAGGCTCTGGGGGCAAAGGGAACGTGAGTACTGGAGGAAGAGAAGAAAGACCCATGTGGTGAACCCCAGAGGAGGAAAGGATGGTAAGTCTTGTCCTAGGAAAGCGGAGAGCCACTGAGTGCTTCCGGCGAATGGAGCCGGGCTGGGCTGCTGTGTAGGAAACAGACCCAATGGTAGCGAGAGTGAGCGGGGCAGATCTGTTACGATGCTAATGTAGTTATCCAGGTGACAGGGAAAATGGAGAGAACATGCTGGACTTCAGAGGCATTTAGAAGGAAGACTCAGTGGTGTTCCGTGATGGACAGGCTCAGGAGAAAGTGGGGCACGGCGTACCAGCTACCTGTCACTGCATAATAATTCACCCAAACTTAGTGGCTTAAAACAACAGTAATCTTTGTGGTTTTTGCTCACAGGTCTGCAATGTGGGTAGTGCTCAGTAGGGACAGCTTGTCCCTGCTCCAGAGTACTGTGGGTTGGAGTGGCTCACAGGCTGGGGCTGCAGTCATCTGCTCACTCCCAGTGGGGCAGTTGATGTTGGCTCTCGACTGGGGGTGTCGGCTCGGACAGCTCTACGTGGCCTCCCCATGTGGCCTCTTGGCTTCCTCACAGTGGCTGGGTTCCCAGAATGAGCATCCCAAGGGATGGGAAACAGAAGCTGCCAGTTTCCTGAGGCCTGGATCCCAAACCTGGCACAGCATCATATCCACTGTATTCGAGTCCCAAGACCCACATTCAAGGACAGGGACGTAATACTACCTCCCAATGGGAATTTTGTCAGGGGAAGCACTGGAAGAAGGCCAGGTTTGGGGAGAGATCATGAATCTAGATTTGATGGACAAAAAGGAAGAAAGGACCTTCCCCAAGTGCCCAGCATGGTCTTAGCTGCCTTAGAGTCCTGGCCCAGAGCCTGGCATGAAACGATCCTGCCAGCCACAGCACCCCTTCCCACCATCTTCCACACCTTCCAGCCTGGGTGACTAAGGAGAGACCCTGGCCCCACTGGGGTTCTGGCCCCTACCCAAGGCCCTCCTACACCCCTGTCTGAGGGGCATCTTCACAGTGCGGTTGGGCAAGCAGGAGCTCTCAAATCCCAATCCCGGCCTTCTGTTCCTAAAATGTCTTCAATCTGCCAGCTCCTCTCCCTCCCGCTGCCCCCACACCAGGCAAGCCATGCCATCTCTGGCCTGGGTCACTGCCCTGGTTTCTCCTAACACTCCTTGTTTCCACTCCTGCCTTCCTATAAAACATTCTCCACGTGCCTCAGAGGAATCATTTAAAATATTAATCTGATCACTTAACTCCTCTGTTTAAAGCCCTCCTAGACACCCAGGATGTGATTCAAAGTTCAGGTTCTGGGACTGCAAATTCCTGCATGATCCAGCCTCACACTGATCTTTCAACAGGCCAGAGTCACTCCTGCGCACTTGCTGTTTCTGTGCAACTCTTTACATGACTGACTTCTTGACATTCTCAAAGAGGCCCTCCCTGACTAACAGATCTCCCCCATGCACTCTTTAACTCACCACCCTGTTTTATGTCCTTCTTAGCACTTAGCACCATTCATCCACCCACCTATTCATTCATTCATTCATTTAGCTATTCATTCAACAAACACTGACCTAGCAGTTACTTTGCACCAGGCACTGTTTTAGGCACAGATGTGAACAAAATTGATGGTTCCTTCTCTTTGCTTTAGAAGGCCCCAGAACTAAGCCCTTGGACCTCTTCTCTGCTCTGTCAACATTTGCTATTTCATGATCTCATCCAGGCCTGGCCGTTACATGTCACATATACAGTGTACTTCGGGCCCCGACCTGAAATCCAGAAGAACACATCCAACTGTCCGCTCACAGCTCCACCTGCGATGTAATGTGCCTCTGTCTCAGGATTATTGCATCCAAAGCTGAATTCCTGACCTTCCCCGGTCTCCAGACCACTCGTGCCTCAGTCTTCTCTATCCTTCCGATTTCTGGAACTGTCTAGGACTCTTCTCTTTCTAACCCATCAACACATTCTATCTTCAGCTCTATTTTCACAATAGATCCAGGCTCTGACCACTTCTCTCCACCTCCACTGCTACCACCCTAGCCCAGGCGACTGTCATCTTGCCTGTATCATGGCTATGGCATCTGAACTGGTCCCCCAGCTTCCACCCTTGCCCAAGCACCATCTACTCCCTACATAGAGGCCATTGAAAATAAAAGTCAGGGCACATCACTCCCCTGCTCACAGTACTGTACAAGGCCTACGGGGCCCCATCAGCTCCCTGCCCTTTTCTCTTACTTGCTCTGCTCCAGCCACACTGGCCTCCCTGTATGTCTTCAGACGTGCCAGGCCCATTCCTGACATAGCAATTTACATTGGTTGTTCCCTCCATTCCAGACTCAGGTGAGGCCTTCCATGCCCAGTGTATTGAACTGTCCAGGCCCTCAGCCCCACTCCAGCACTGTAGATTTTACTTATTTATTTTAGTTATCACCTGCCTTCTTCTATGAGAACATAAGGTCCCCAAGGCCCCTTTCATTCATGGCTGTGTTCTCCAGTGCCTAGAACAGTGCCTGGCTCAGAACAAGTACTCAGAGGTCAGAGTGAGGAGGGAGATTTGACCATTAGATTTAGCAAGGCAAATGTTGCTAATTTCCGCCAGAGCAGCCCAATCTAAAGCATCTTATTTGGTTACTAGTTCATTCATTCATTGTCTGTTGCTTCCTACTAAACCATTCTAGAAGAGCAGGCACTTCATTGGTCATTTTTTCTGCTGAATCTGTGGTACCTAGAACTGTACCTGGGGCACAGAAGGCACTGAGGGAAAACAGATAGAAAAGAATAGATGTCAATGACCAGTGACTTCCCCTCTCTGGAGTCAGTTCCCTCATCTGTAAATTCAGAATGAAAATGCCTGCTTTAAAGAATTGTTTTTAGGGCGTAATGATATACTGGATGTAGTGCCTGCTACACAGTAGGTGGTCAATAAATATCACCCATTCCTTTATCTGTTAGCCCCCCATCCGGCCTGCCTGTCTTCCTCCCCACCCTGAGGCTTCTGAACAGCAGGAATGTTGATAAATGTTTAATCACACTGTCAGGCACCGCTCGCAGTTCTAAAGGCACATCTGGATTTTTGCAGAGCCAGGCAGGGCTGGGAGAATGTCTTCTGTGCCAGCTGCTTCTGCTGGGATTTTCTTCTCCCCCTTCCCCACATTCTCCCCCCTCCCCTTCCAGGAAGCTTCAATAGCTATTCTCCTTCCTACATTCTTAGGGAGAGGAGAGAGGAATTGGAGAGGCCCATTTTCCAGGGGCAGAGAGAATTCACAGGTTTAGGGCCTGGCCAGAAAGAGACCCAGGGGCCTGAGCTCACCCTATATCAAGGGGGGCCCGGAGTGTGGCATGGGGTGAAGAACCCAGTGTGCTAGAAAGTGGCAGCCCAGTAACCATGCCCCCTTTTTCTGGGGACGGCACATGTAGAGAAAGCAAGAAAGCAAATGTTAACAATTGGCGAATCTAGGTGAAAGCTATTCGGTAACCATTGTACTAATATTGCAACTTTTCTGGAGGTTTTGTTTCTTCTACTATGCTTGCAACTTTTCTCTAGGTTTGACATTTTTCAAAACAAAAGAGTTGGGGGTGGGGGCAAAAAGAAAGAGTGACAGAGATGCTAGTGGCTCACCCAGTAACCATTATCCCTTCTCCTAATTTGATTCTGGGAAGTCCTATGCCCAGCTGGATGACCACACTTTGCCAGCCTCCCTGCAGCTAGGCCTAGCCAGAGAAGCGGAAGTTGTGGGGTTGGCTTTTAGGAAAACTCCTTATGAAAGAGATGGACAATGGGAAGGTGCTCATTTTAGCCCACTTCACCTCCTCCTGCTTTCTGTGTAGACATGATGGCTGGAGCTGCAGCAGCCATCTTGGACCACGAGGTGGCCTTGAAGGTGGAATCCATGTACTAAGAATGATGAAACAGAAAGGTAGGAGTCATCACACAAACTGTGGACTATCTCCCATTGGACTTCTTTCTTTAAGTGAAAGGATACACACCTGCTTTGTCTGAGCTTCTGTACTAGCAGCCAAATGAACTTCCTGCCTGATTCAGAATTTAACCTGTTTTCTGTTCCATCTACACTCTGGACTTTTCTGCCTGCCAGATCCTCTGCCGGGAATGCTCACAACCACTTATAAGGTCTTTCTCATCTTTCAAAACCCATCTTGAATGTCACTTTCTCCTGGCCATCACCTCCCCCCTACACACACGCACACACACTAGCACAGCTGTTAAACTCCCCAACAGCCCACTTGCTGCCAATCTGAAAACCACTTACTACTCATGGCTTTGGCCACTCTAGCATTTATCCTGTTGCCCTCTAATGCCCTTGGTTTCCCTGCTACTGCTTTTTCCAGCTTCTCTTCCTCTTGGGGCTGTTCCCTCTCAGTCTTTTCCCCAGGCCTCTCTGCTTCAGAAGGCTGCCGTGCCTCAGGCTCCTGTTCTAGACCCTCTCTCCTCTCCCCTGGGCAATCGCATCCTCCCTGTGCCTCCAGCCACCACCTCTATGCTAATAACTCCAAACCCAGTAGTGTACTGGGCCAGTTACCTCCCAAATGAAACCTCTCCCTCTGGCCCTGTTCCAGACTCACTGAGGCTCCCCTAATTCAGGTTTGTCATCCCTCCTGTGGATTTTGCCCCAACCTCCTCCCTGATCTTGCTGCTTCTAGCCATGTCCCCTCCAACCCACCTCCATTTGGCCCCATAAAATGCAAATCTTACATAGGTCTCTCTGTGACTTCCCAGTTCCTACAATAGGAAGTACAGCTCCCCTTCATCTGGTCTTTCTTTCTTCCTCCTCTCCTCCCTTCTCCTCATCCTTCCTCATCACCTACTAACATGCAGGGGTTCTTTAGTCAGGAGTCACCAAAATCACTTCTGGCTAATTCAAGCAGATACATTTATTAACCAATACTGGGCAGCTCAGAAACTCTCCAGGGAGGCCAGACAATTCTCCCTGGAGACCCAGCCTGGAATCGTGCCCCAAATCACAGTGCTGAGCAGGCCCAGGAAGACTCCCGTGATGCCACGGCTGGGCGCAAACAATGCAGCTTGCCCTGTCATGCGGGACACTCCCAGAAGCAGCATCCCTGCTGCCTGTGGTCCCTGGCAGGAGCTGCCATCACCAATGCCACATGTCCTCACCAGGGCAAACTCCCTCCTTCCCTGCTTCTCTGGCCCTAGCTTCAGGTTCTGAATCTGGGGCTGGAGTGTCTGGGACTGATGTCACCAGTCCTGGCTGCAAGGAAAGCTGGGAAAGCATTGGCAGCTCCTCAAGGGGTAGGTGGACTCTGCCTTCATAAGGTGGGGATCCCCCAAAATTGCTTGCTCCACATCAGTACACATGGGCCTGGCTCATCCTTTCTAACAGCAGCATCGCATTGGCTGAGTGGATGTACCACAACAACTAGCCAGTCTTCTACAGATGGACATTTAGGTTACTTTCAATTTTTTGCTACAAGAAACCATGCTGCAGTGAACATCCTTGCACAAATGTCTTTGTGCACTTGGGCAAGTGGAGATCCAAAGGATAAATTCCTGGAAGGGGAATTGTTGGCTCAAATGGAACATGCATTTATGTCTTAGGTTGCCAAACATTGCCAAATTGCCTTCCAAAAAGCATGCGCCAGTTTACAGCTCTACCAGCAGCCTGTGAACATTTTTTTCCCAGGCTCTGCACTCTGGCTGCTGGCTGCCCCCTCACCTCATCGCCTGTCACTTACACACCCTGAGTTTCCAGTCATAGTGCCTCTGCCCATGCTGTACCCACAAGCTAAAACTCCCCTCCTCCCTTATCTCCAGATTAAATCTTACCTGTCCCACAAGGCCCAGCTTAGATGTTACCTCCTTTGTACAGCCTTCCTGGACTCCTCTAAACTGTTAGATTCCCCTTTATCCAGAATCCCAGCTTCTTCGTTATAATTCTGTCATAGCACCAGCTGAGAGTCTCTGTGTGCCTGGCATCCTAGGATCATTTTGACAGCCCTCACTATAACCATACAAAAAGTGGTCTTGCCCACCTCCTCCTCCCTCCCTCCTGACTCTCCAGCTGCACTGCCTTTTATCTGTTCCAAAGCACAGTCCTGCCTCAGGGCCTTTGCACGTGCAGTTCCCTCTCTATGGATCTTACCTTCACTCATCTTGGCCTTAGTGCTTTTCTGGGATCTATCTGTGCCTCCATTCACCTCCTTACAGAGGCCATCCCTGACAACTCTGTCTCAAGTACCCTCTCTAGTCACTCTGTTACATCACCATTTTATTATCTTCACAACACTTCTCACAAGCTGAAATAACCTTGTTTGGTTTAAGTGTTACCACGTTGATTTTCTGTCCTGTGTCCCCTCTCTGAGGACACACACACACCATTGTAAGCTCCAGGACAGCAGAAAGCACCGTTGAGATTCGAAACCATCTGAACTACAAAGCCAACTGCACTATTCCCGCCCCCGCCCCTGCCCCGACTCTTAGCAGGAAGCATTGTCTCCCTCACCAGACTGGTTTCTTGGGGGCAGGACGTAAGTCTGACGCCTTGAGGTTCCCCAGCGGCGCGTCCCAAGCCGGCCCGGGAGGCCAGCAGGCTCTGCGGAGTTGTCACCCTCCCCGCCCCCTTGTCAGTCAGGCTGAGGGGGCGGTGCGGCCGCCAGGCGGGGGCGCTGAGCTCAGAGCTGCCGCAGCGCCGGAGCCGGAGCCCCAGCGCGCCAGCGAGCAGGGCGCGAGGCGCGAGTGGGGGCAGGCGACGCACCCAAGACCCGGGCACTGCTGCGCCCGGCTCAGGTCCCGCGCCCCGCCTGCTGCAGACCGACCTGAGCGCCTGGCGCAGCCCCGATTCCCCACCGGCCCCGAGCCCACCGCAGCCCGGCCTAGCGGCAGCCGCCACTCTATCCGCTACTCGGGCCCTATATCCAGGTGAGGCGGCCGCGCTCCTGGAGCGTTGAAAGGGAAGGGATTGGGGATGAAGAGAGGACCGGGTGGGATAGAGAAGGGGCTGGGGATGGAGAAAGGACAGGGTAGGATGGAGACAGGGCTGAAGCTGGAAAGAGACCGAGTGGGATGGGAAAGATGAGGAAGGGGCTAGAGAACCGAGAGAGGGCGCGGCGGGTCTGTGTCAGTGTGCGCCCCGGGGTATGTGTGTCTGCTGCTCTGTGTCTGCAACTGCCTGGGTAGCCGTGTGGACGTGCGTCCGCGCCTGTGTGCCCGTGTGTGTTGGAGTGTCAGTGCGCGTTTGAACGTCTGCGTGTCCTGTATGTGCACGTGAGCGTGTCCATGGAATATGTTTGTGTACATGACCGTGTGACACTGTGTCGTGTGCGTACAGGCAGGTTCCAGGGCTTCGCGCCGAGTCCAGCACTCCGGTTCCGCGGGGCTGCAGGCTGCGGGGCCCCGTATAACCGAGTAGGTGGCCCCTCCCGCGTCCCCGGGTTTCAAGGACGCTAGGACTCGCCACGGCCCAGTGGCCTCGCGCTGGAGACGGGGAAAGGCGAGAGGGGGCTCCGGGCCAGAAGGGCACCGAGGTCTCAGGAGGGAGGGGAGGGGACCCCCACGTCCCTGGAGAAGGGCTGGGGTGAGGGTGCGGGGCCAGCGCACCGTGCCCGTGTGTTCACCCTCCCCAGGCCGCCAGGATGGACGTGTTCATGAAGGGCCTATCCATGGCCAAGGAGGGTGTCGTGGCCGCCGCGGAGAAAACCAAGCAGGGGGTCACAGAAGCGGCGGAGAAGACCAAGGAGGGCGTCCTCTACGTCGGTGGGCAAGGGGAGGGGCTTCCGGGCTGCAGGGTCCAGGTGTCCCCTGGGGGAGTGGGGCTGAGGTCCTTAGAGTGGGAAAGTAGGGGTCTAGGCACAAGAATATGAGTCAGCAGATGAGGTGGGGTCTGCAGGGGTCACTGGGGACACAGCCTACGGGTGGAGGAATGGGGGAAAGGGTTGGTGAGGGTGAGGTTCAGCCGAAAGGCCCGGGACTGAGGGAGTGATGGAAGTAGACAGTCTTCCTTTTCTTCTTTTTCGCATTAATAGTTACCTGGTGTTGAGCCCTTACTCTCTGCCAAGTACTGTGTGAAATGCCAACACATCCATTAACTTATTTAATGCTCCCTGCCCATTCCACAGACCAGGGAAACTGGGATTCTCAGAGGTTTGACTATCTTGGTCAAGGTCACACAGTTGATAAAATCTGAAGCTGTAGTTTGAGCCAAGCTTTCTGCATTCCAACTCCCCCACCCCTCTTGCCTGCCCTCCCTCCTGTATTTTGGGGGCTCCCTCCCAGCACGCCTCTCCAGCTATTTCCACCTCTCCGTGTCTTTTTGCCTCCCAGTGCTTGTGGTTCTACCATTGCCATCGCTCCTCTGGGTCCCCTCTTCTTGCAGCGACAAGCTGGCAGTAGGACAAAGGCCAAGTGGTTAAATCTCTCACCCTAAGTGTAAAAGGAGAGTGAGCCTGTGGGGTCATTTGCATAAATAGAGGCAGGCCACTAAAACTGACATTTACTGAATTCTCTTTGGTAATTCAGGCCTTGCTTGTGTACAGTGGATGGAATTGTTCCCTATCCAGGCTGAAGAGAGCTGGCTAACCTCCCTATGGCAAATTTGGGTTTGTGGTCATTTGAAGAATATTTGACTACCTACTATGTGCCAGTCATATATATGACTCATGGTGATGTAAGAGTGGACAAGAGAGACAAAGGTGCCCTCTCTCCTGATGGTGACACAGAGCATTTCAATAGTGGGAGCTGACATTAAGTGGGTTGGTGGGAGGTCACTTTGGTATCATAGTCAAAAAGGATGGCATTGGAGCTGACCTCTGACAGTAAGAAGCCAAGAGGTGGGTGGGGGAGGCTGGAGAGCAAAGGGCAGGAAGCAGGGATAGGTGGGCAAGAGCCAGTTCACAAGGGGGCCGGCCCTTATAGGCTGGGGCAAAGCATTATTATAATTGCCATGGGAGATTGGAAGCTAGGGGACCTGACTTCAGTTTGGAAAGGTCCCTCAGGCCTCTGGGGACAGGACAAATCAGGAGAGTCCCCCTAGGATGTAGTGTAGACACCGGACAAGAGTGGTTGTAGCTAAAAGACAGGTGATGGAATCAGGGAGAAGGCTTGAGCCCACACCTGCCTGACCAGCTCTGGCCTCCCTTCTGCCTCAGCCCCTGCCAAGGAGCCCTCACTAGCTCCCAGTTCCTACATGGATAAGCCTCAGCTCCCTGTAGCCTGGCATGGTCCTGCCTCTGGCTATGCTTCCAGCTTTGTATCGCATTCCCATAGCTACGGGCACACAGACAGCATTGATGTGCTTTGTGCAGGCCCTGAACTCACATCCCTCTGTGCCCTGCCTGCATGGTTCTCTGTGCCTGAAGTACCCTCCCCAGACTCCTTTCTGCATATCCACCTGCTCCCCACTTGTCAAAGCCCAGATAGTGCCCCCTCCCCTATCATACCACACTGCTTGAGGTTGCAGGTCCTCTCCCCGCTGCTTGAGGTCCTGGACACCGAATTTGCTCTTCTCTTAACCCCACCCTAAAGTGAGTGAGTGGCCTGGGACCTGACACAGAGCAGGTGCCAACAAATGTTTGTGGGAGGAATGAATGGGTGCACATACAACCACCACCCCCATCCCTGGGTCTGGCTGGCCTTAGGTGTGAGAATCCTGTCTTCCCACACCAGCTTTTCCTCCTCCTCCACAGCCTCAGCCTAACCACACACCCATTTCTGGGTCTATCAACTGTTGTCTGAGTTGCCAAATCCCCTGTCTCCTGAGAGCTCCCCCCCCACACCTCATATCAGGCCCCTTTGCTTTTCCCAGCAGTCCCACATTTTGCTGTGACTAAGTTGCTACCCTCCTAGAGGGTAGCCACAATTTGCACATCACCCTTAGACCCATCCAGCACCTAAGACACTCCCTACTCCAGCCAAAAGGAGGAATTTGCATACTTGTTAGAAGAGAGTCTTTGGAAGAAATGAAGAGGAGGTGGTGAGATGGGGATGCCCATAGGTGGGATGTGGGCACTCATGCACCAGGAGCACCTTTCCAAATACATAGTCTGTTTGCCCCCGAGCTCCAGCTCCACTCCCACCCTTACATGCTCCCACCCTGGACAGAGAAATGACCTGGTGCAAGCAGAGCGCTTTGCACAATGCTGGCACTGACAAAAGCCACCTGAGAAATGTGGGTATCATATCAGCTGGGGATGGTGGGGGACAATGAGGAGAATGAGAAGTCCCAAGGAAGAAGTCATAGGGGACTCAGTGCAGTGATGAGGGGGGACTAGTGGGATTTTGAGGACCAAGTTGGCAGTGATGGGGCCAGGATGCCAGCTACCCACTGAGCCCCTCTTCCCACTCTATAACCACTGTGCTTGCCAGAATCTCTGTTCCCTCAGCTCAGAGCCCTTAAATGTACCCCCTTTGTCTTCTTGCAGGAAGCAAGACCCGAGAGGGGGTGGTACAAGGAGTGGCCTCAGGTACCAGCCCAGTCTTGGCACAGCCCCTTTCCCTCCCCCAGCCTGAGAACTGGCTTGACTCCAGGGGGTGGCAGGGAAGGGTGGTAGAAGTGGGCATCCCTAAGACTTGGGGGGTGCTCCATGGGAAAGGCAGGCTCTGGGGCACTACAGGGAGAGGGGGACACCTATGCCTCCTTCACCCTGGCCCGCAACCCCCTTCTCCAACCCTTTCCCTGCTCCAGTGGCTGAGAAAACCAAGGAGCAGGCATCACATCTGGGAGGAGCTGTGTTCTCCGGGGCTGGCAACATCGCAGCGGCCACAGGCCTGGTGAAGAAGGAGGAATTCCCCACTGATCTGAAGGTGAGCAATCCTCCCACCACACACACACACACACATGCATGCACATGCACACAAATGCCAGGCACACCCATAAACCTGCTACCAGACTCCCTATTCCCCCAGCCAGCCTGGGGCACAAGACACCTTGCCTCACATTCTGTGACTGTGACTCAGATTGGTTGTGTACATGTATTCTGCTTGCAAGTGTGACCCAGACCACTTCTGGCCATGTCTGCATGTGTCACTGACTGTTCATTCATTTCTTTTCATTCAACAAGTATTCATGCCAGAGAGGGATTGTTCTAGAGGTTACTGCAGTGAATCGGTTCCTACATTCATGGAGCTGACACTGTAGTGGGAGAAGATAGTAAAAAGCCAACCAATAAGCAAGATGATTTCAGACAAGGTTAAGTGCTACAAAGAAAAGACAACAGGGCGATGGGATAGAGAGTCCAAGGATGAGGAGGCTACTTTACCTGAGAGGGCCTCCCTGAGGAGGTGACATTTGAGCTGATACCCAAGGGATGAGGAAAGCCAAGTCGGAAGTGCATTTCAGGCAGTAGGAACAGCGCATGCAAAGACCCTGAGGCAGGCATGAGCAGGTGTGGGCCATGGGGGAGGGGCAAATTGCATCACACATTTGTGCAGACATATTCCCCCAGAGGAGTGGTGGTGGCTATCCCTGTGTGCATAAAGACAGAGGTCTCCATGAGGACATGCTGCAGAGTAAGAGCTGTGAGCTCTGAAGCCTGGCAGCTGGATCTGTATCCCAACTCCACCACTTCCTAACTGTGTGACCCTGGGCAGGTTCCATCATGTCTCCAAGCCTGATTCTTTCCCTGTAAGATGGTAGATGAATATAATAGGGCTCTTATGTAGATTAGATAATATAGATCAAAACTTAAGTGTGCATCAGAATGACCAGTTGGCCAATTTCAAATACAGACTGTTGGCCCCACCCCTAGAATTTCCGATTCAGTAGGTCTGAGGTGGGGCCTGAGAATCTGCATTTCTAACAAGTACCCAGGTGATGCTGATGCTGCAGGTGCAGGGACCCCACTGTGAGAACCTGAAAATTCATCTAGCTCTACACTTACCTGCACCTTTTAATATGTATATTTTAATTTAAAAAATCCCCCCCCCAAACCCACTAAACTATCCACTGGTAAAGAGCGAGGCTTGCATAAGAGATAGTGGCTCCATGACCATGTGAGTGGTCCGTGTCTGCCCCCAGGGGCTCATGTGACTACAGGTGTGCATGGAAGGGTACCATCGTGACAGTGCACCCTGCCCATTTATCTGCACAGATAACCTCCTGTGGGGTATGCATACCTGTCCTCATACAAGTACAGACTCCAACTGTGTGGGTGTGGGGGTCCTTCTTTAGCAACTGGTTTGGGAGATCAGTGTGTTTTCTGCATGAGTGTGTCCACCAGGCTGTGGGAGGAGACTCCACCCCACCCTCTACTCCAGACATTTTGCATAGTTGGTTCCTTCCCCTGTCGGAAGTCTATGCATTTTACCAGCTGGGTGACTTCCCATTTCTTATTATGTTTCCAGTGATTGCTCCCATTTATTGACCTCTTGCATGGGCAGGCGCTGCTATAGACATGTTACATGGAATAACTCACTGAATCTTCACAATGTCCCAGTGAAGAAGGCACCACAATTAGCCCATTTTACAGATGAAGGAACTGAGGCGCAGAGAGGTGAAGTGACTTGCCCAAGGTCCCATTCCAGCCCTGCTCCCTGAGAAGGTGGTCAGGAGGATAAGCTCAGGTCCATGTCATTAGAATCGCTTGGTTCCGACATGGAGCCAGGCCCTGTTCTGGGGGCTGGGGTTCAGAGAGAGGCAGGTTTAGGCCTGAACTGTCAGCCTCGAGGCTGTTTGTGAGGGGCATTTGCATAAAACCATCATCTTTCTCATGCTGTCTTCCTCTTATCAGCACTTGTTGACAATTCAAGCCTCCTCTCTCAAGGGAGCTCAAGATCATAGATTTACAATCCAAACCGCAGCCCTTCAGGGCCACTGGGCACAGGGGAACCCATGGAAGCCCAGGGTGCGTGTCCCTGAGTATCTCTCCATCCCAGCCTGCTCACATACATTTCATTTCCCACCTGAGACCACTGAGATCAGAGGTGGAGTGACTTCCCTAATGCCAGACAGCCAGTGAGTGGCCAGGCTGGGGAATTCCCCCATGTTACCAGCATCCAAATCAAGACACAGAACATCAGCCCCTCAGAAGCCCCCCTTCCAGTCCCTACCACTAGTGCTAAGACTAAGGGCACAGAATTTAAGAGACACTCATTCTGGGGTCTCATTTGCATAGGCCTGAGAGTAGGCGCCTTCTTAATACTTGCATCCTAGGCACCTTGCTCTCCTCACCTTTGGCCTGGCCCTGTCTCCCCATCCAGGGGTAACGGCTTCCTGACTTCCATCACCACAAATTAGTGGTGTGTTTTTGAATTTCACATAAATGTCATCCTAACGTACCAGCTCTTCTGTACCTGGTTTCTTCCACTCAACAGGAAGCTGTGGTATGCACTATCAGTCTCCTTATTTATTGTGCAGTATCCATGTGTGATGAAACCACAACACACACATCCTTCTACTCTTATTGGATATCTGAGTTGTTTCTAAATGATATGCTCCAGCTGGGATTTTTAACACTATGTTTCTTTCCTGGGTTCTGGTCATAGCTGGGTGACTTGGAGCAAACTAACAATTCCCCACCTCCTGGGCCTTGGTCTACCCATCTGTACACTGGGGGGAATAAGCCAGTTCAGGAGCTGTAAACTCCTGTGCCCACCTAGACAGGTAATGCAAAGGAGGTGAAGCTGCCTGGAAGGGGCTGGGGCAACTAGAGTGCAGGGGTAGCCAGGGCAGGCCTTCTCAGTGCCAGCCCTCCAGGGTCCCAAGAGTCTTATCTCCACCCAGTAGGGAGGGACAGTGTTACCTGTGGAAGCAGAAGAGGTGGTATGCTTTCCTGCCTACAGTGTACCCCAGGGGTCCAGGAGTGTACCAGCCCACCTGGCCTTGTGCAGCTGCACATGACCCCCAGGTTATTATTGCGTGTGCCTGTGTGTGCAGCCAACTCAGTCCCGTGTTTATGTACATACATGTGCTCACCTGCAGGGGGTTGGCCATGTGTCTGGCAGTCCCCCACTTGCATGCCTGCTGGTTTGCACCCATCTGGGCAGCAGATGTAGGGGGAGGGGAGAGTCTTAGCTCACACATCCAAGCAACACCATGAGCTGTTGCTTCCAGCTTATCTTAAAATAGCAGCAGCTGAAGAAACCAGGCCACACAGGGCCCTGGGGGAGGGATGGGTGGAAGGTGGCAGGGGAATGGCTCAGAGCCCTGGTCCAGCCTTGTATCTGAGCCCCTATCTCCCTCCAGCCCAGAGGAGCCTCCAGGGTTACCTCTGGGGTCCCAATGCCCAGCACAGAGCCTGACCCAAGGGGGTAGGGATTAATGGGACTGAATGTGCTATCTCCCCATCCCATTCAGTCCAAATGATGGAAGTGCAAGAGGCTGCCAGGTGCTGGGGAGAGCGGAATGGAGAGCCCCACTCTGCTCCCCATCCACAGCTTCAAGAGGGATTTGGAGGGATTTCACTCCTCATGCCTGCATCTCACTTCCAAGGCACTCCATATAAACAATTTAATTAGAAATGCTGGTTGTACTGCCAACAAAGCCTAGTTTTCCCCTGATCAACCAAGAGCTTCCCAGGGTAGGAATCTGGGGGGGGCATCCCCAGCTGACTTCACAGGCCCTGTCCTTTCTCTGCCTGCAGCCTGAGGAAGTGGCCCAGGAAGCTGCCGAGGAGCCGCTGATAGAGCCGCTGATGGAGCCAGAAGGGGAGAGTTATGAGGAACCGCCCCAGGTGAGGGTGGCAGGGCTGGGCGGGGCTTCGGGATCCACAAGGATTGCTGACATCCCAGCTGGGGTGGGAGGGCCCTGGCAGGGTAGGGTTGGAACCCGGGAACTTCAGGCCCCTCTTTTCTAGAACCCAGGCCCCAGTATGTGGCGGCTGGGAGGGAGGACAAATGGTGCCTAGCACTGAGTCCCGGGTACCAGTACCCAGGACTGGCCAGGCTGTGCCCAACTTCCACGTTCCTCACCTGCTCAGGGGGAGGGGTGCAGTGCTCCTCCATGAGGGGAGGGGTCTCGGGCCCGCGGCCTGGCCACTTGGTCTCCAACCCCTTCCTCTTTTGCTCTTCTCCACTCCACCCCCATCCCTCTGATGCAGGAGGAGTATCAGGAGTATGAGCCAGAGGCGTAAGGGCCCAGGACGGCCCCCCCCCACCAGCAGCACAATCCCTTCCCTGTCCCTGTCCCACCCCCCACCCAAAGCCAGGGCTGTCCTTCTACCCCTACCCCCCAAACAGGAGATCTTCCTTCACTCTGAGGGGCCCCCTCAGAGCTTGTGTTAGTGTCTGTCCATCTGTCTGTCCTACCTGCCGGCGTCCAACCCTGAGGCTTGGACAGGGCAGGGGCTGCAGCCTTGACTGGGAGCCTCTCCCTACCTATGTTGCCCGCTCCCCGCCCCATCCTGACCAGTGTGTGCAGGGATGTAGCATGTTCTATGTGTTTTTAAACGAAGATCTGAAAGCGATGGCTCCCCTCTCCCACCCCCGACAGAGGCTCTCTGAAGGGCCATCCGGCAGCCCCAGAGCCCCCCACCCCACTCCCACATCGACCCCAAGAACCTTTTTTTAACCAAAACCAGGAGCCAGGCTGTGCCATGCCCCCTCCCCCAGCCGGCCCGGTCCAAGCGCGGGCGTCATGTGTCGTGATTGTGGCATGGAGAGTCCCCCAACCCCCGTGTGAGCGTGTTCCAGGCGGGCGGCACTGCCGCCCCCCACGTGTCCATGAATAAAGCCAATCTGTCTGTAGCCGGTGCTGCAAGAGCAGATGGGGGTGGCCGACGGGCTTCCAGGTCCCAGCCTGCCCCACTCCCCTCTTTGGGGTCCGGCACACTTGGCCCAGGTATAAGACTGACCACCTACGGCTTCAGCTTCTCCATCTCCTACCCTGCCCGGGATGACCGGGGCCCCCCAGCCTGGTACACACAGTTGGCTGGCAGGCGGGAAGGCAGCCTTGGGCGCCACCTGCTGGGCCGTAAATCGACCATTAGGGGTGCAGGGAGGGGGGAAGCCCCGTGCCGCTTCAAGGCAAGGTGGACCAGCTCACACCTCGCCTCACACGCAGCGCGGGTGCGCCGGCTGCCACACACGCTGGTTCCTCAGCTCCAGCCCGAGTGTATGCACCCTGGCAGGTGTGCAGGTGCAGACACGCGTGCATGCACGCTGGCCGATACGTGCGGGCACGTGCACACCCAATTGCACGCACGACATGAGAAGTCCTCGGAAACTGAAAGACGCTGTTCGCGGGCACTGAAAGACGCTGTACGCGCAGACAGACCTCTCCCCCCGCCCCGCCCCAACAGAACGTTTACACACATACACACCTGCCCAACTCAGAAAAACCCACCCAAGGGGAGGGGAGATGGGCAGCTGCCCCAGAAGGAGGCAGAGCTCGGCAATGAGTGCTCCACCCCTCCCGAAAAGGCGTCCCAAGGTTTGCGGCCTTGGCTAAGTTGGGCGAGGGTCCACAGAAATCCGAAAGCCGGCCAGGCGCCTCGAACGGACCAGGATCGACACTCGAGGGACCCCAACACCGCCTCAGAGTGGGAAAGAAGGGGCGGAGACGCTGAGGAGCTGCGCAGAGGCCCCGCCTCCGTCGGCCCCGCCCCCACCACTGATAGGCTCCGCCTCCATCAATGCGGCGCTCAAGCACTCTGAGGCAGGGTCCCTGTAATTTCGTTCGCACGGAGGCCGGTCACCGTCCTGGCCCAAGCCCTGCTTTGTTTGGCCACAGGGACCCCCCACCTCGCCTGCGCGAGACCCCACCCCCTTCTGTGTCTGGTCCGACATCCTTTCTGACTCAAGTCCCAGTGTTGGAAGGAGCTTACTCTATTCAGTCTACCCCCCAAGTGTTAGCACCGCCTCCTTCCCTGAGTGGTTGGGGACGGGATAGTGCGAGGCTCGGGAAGGCCTTGAACACTGCGGGAGACCGGTCCACTCAAGTCACTTCGGCCTGAAATGTACCGAGCTTTTACTTCCGTAAATCGGAGGCAGCTGGGAGACTTGTGTGTAGGGAGAACAAACCGGTGGGCTTGGATTCTCTGACTCAACATGCGAGTGCCAGAATCTCCAGATACCTTTTGGCTGAATTAGGACACTGTTTACAACCCGCAGTCCTGAAGGACTGCAAACTCGTGGCCCTCGGGTTGAATTTGGCCAGTAGAGATGTTTAACTTGTAGCACAAAGTTTAATTTTTTTCATTTGATTCCAGTTGGCCATCAAATGATTCCAGCTTCTCTCCCTATCCACTCATTTTCATGAACTGGTCTCTAAAGAATTTGAGTTTCACCTCCTCTCCAGCTACCAGCACCTGATCCCCAATTTTAGATGCCAAAACCAGATTCACCATCTGGCTTGTGGAGGGTTTGGGGGTTCTTCTCCTTTTGCGGGTGCCAGCCACACACCTGGTTTCCTGAGCCTGTTTTTTTGCTCAGAGCCAATGTCCCCATCTTCTGGGGTCAGTTTAAATGCATTCCAGGCACAGGCCCAGAAGCATCTGCGGAAGTTGCCAGCCCTGTGTCAGATGGCAGTCCTGACTGTGGGTGTGCATGTGAGAAGACACAACTCATGGGCCCCTCCCGCATGACACGGATGGAGCTATTTCCCAAGTGCCCACCATATCCCAGGCATCTCACACTTGTCTCCATTAATTTCACTGGAAACCGTGCTCAAGGATTCTCTGTTATTAGCTCCAATTTACAGATAAGAGAATGGAGGCCAGAGAGGCAACATGACCTGCCCTGGGGAACACTGCTAGAAAATAGCAAAGGCCACATTCAGCCAGAAGCCTGACCCCAAAGCCCAATTTTCCAAAAGGGACTTGCCCTTAGGGGAGACAAACAAAACCACCAGCCATAAGAAAACATAGGGACAGCAGCACAGAGATAGCAGACGCTTGTGCAATTTCATGCAGGCTGTGTATGGGGGGAGGGTTGAGTTATGTGTGCACATTTACGGATGTGCTGCGGTGTATCTATTTACGCATGTACATAGATGTTGCCCATGTGTGTTGTGTGTGTTTATTTAGTCATCCAACAGTGTGTGTTGCATACCCACTCTGTTCTTAGAAGTGAGGGGCTGCAGGAAATAGCCCTACAGGTCACTGCCCTGACAAAACTCATGTCCCATGGATCAACAGATACATGGATCAAGATACTTTTGAGTTTTATGAAGAACATAAAACCGATGGGGTAGAATGTGACAGGGAGGGGGTGATGACCAACATTAAATTGGGTGGTCTGCTCAGGTGTCTGAGGACGTGAGGATAGAGCCGAAACGTGCATGACAAGGTGGCGTGGAAGATGCGGGAGAGGAGTGTTACAGCAAGGGAGTAGCCCACCTCTCTGTGTCTGCATGGACACCAGTGTGCAGTCAGCCAGATGAGCCGGCCAGGTCTCCCACGACTTGTGGGTCCAGTCCCACCTCACCTGAGACCCACCTTCCCTTCTTGGCCTGCGCTTTCCTCCACAGCTGCTGCTCTCAACTCTGTTGAAACCTTTACTCCCTCTGAGCTTTCCCTAGTCCTCCAACCAGAAGTGATTACCCATCACCCCCATCCTGCTCAGCTGCACACATAGGGGACTCCTCCCCACCCATGCCAGCAGGCTAACCTAATAACTGCCCCCTCTGCCTGATGAAGGGCTGGGGGTCATGTCCCCCCCCCGCCCCCAGCTCTCTGCCTCCACCCCCTGGTAATAAAGCTCCACAGCTTTCCCTGGAACTTTATTTTTGTTTTCTCCCTTTCCTATTTATAGCTCTCTCCCCCTTCAAACCATCCCTGCATCCATCCCGTTGCCTAGAAACCGGCTCTGGGCTGAGGGTGGGGGAAGGCCAGGCCAGCCCAGGCAGGCGAAAGGGAGAGCTGTCACCCACTCCCCCTCTCAGCACCACTCCCAAGCTCCCAGAAGCCCACCCTGCTCTCTGTCTAGCACCCATTGGTATTTTTTAAGAGATAAAATGCAGAAGATAGCAGCCTTTGTGAAGACCTTCACAGCTTCTAAAGGGCATGAAGCATGTGATTTCAGTCAGCGCCTCTCAATTGCCTACCTTGCAGGAGGCTTGGACCCATTTTTCCAGAGGAGGAAACTGAGGTTTCAGAAAGCCAAGGTCCCATAGCTCAAAAGTCTTCTCAGTAGAAATTCCATGGCTTTGGACTTGGGATATTGGCCTAAAATACAGAAAAATTTTAAAAGCATAAATAATCCCATAATCCATTAATTTCAGAAGGGTAAAGAGAAAAATTTTGTAATGATCTTGCCACACACTGTCCTGCCTCCGCCATACACCTCACCATATGTTCTGCCATGCCCTCCACCATGACCCCAACATGCCCCTGAAATGCCCCCACCATGTCACCCCACATTTCCCCCACCATGCCCAACCACCGCTCAACTCCTGGTTCTAATGCATACCTTCCACAGATCAGACCAGGAAGCCTGAGTTTGCTTCCTGGCTCTGTTACTTCATCAACTGTGTGACCTTGGACAGTTCACATAACCTCTCTGAGCCTTGGTTTCCTCAGTTTGAAAGTAAGAATGTTAATTTCCACCCCTTAGGGCTAGTTAAGAGAATTCAATGTGATACTGATGAGAAAGTGCTTTTAAAACCATAGAGTTCTGTAACGTGTGATCAATCAAAATAGTTAATATTATTGTTTTTAGGACCAAGAAGTGGGGCAGGGAAGCCAAAACGGGCTCTGGGCTTACAAAGGGAGCCACTGGCCCTTGTCCAGGCAGTAGGACCACTTTACCTAGCAAAAGGAGGGACATGGGAGGGGGGCTGCCTGAGAGCACCTGCAGACCACTGAGGAGTATGGGAGGGCACAGAGGCCCTCTTATGCCTGACTCCCCCTGTTCTCAAACAACCCCATCCCCTACTGCCCTACTCCCTATCTCCCACCCCAAGGCCCACCTCTGCCTTTGAAATAGGCTCTCTGGGAAGAATGGGGGAGAGGTCTGCCAAGGAGCAGCTGGGCCATGATTCAGCCTGAGTCACCCATCCAAGTCCCAGGGCTGTCCCCCACTGAGCTGGGGCCTGCAGCTGCTGGAAGTGGGGCGTGAGAACCTAGAGAGGGAGGGAGGGGCCCTGTGTGGGTGGCCAGGGGCTCTCATGAGCATCAGGGCAACGATGTGAGGGATTGGGAGTGGTACATATGAGGAGGTCAGAGTGGGGAAAGTGACTCCATGGACATCAGTTATCTGGGCTAACTGAAGAGGCAGGGTTTTGGTGTGTGTGTGTATGTGTATGCCCGAACATGCATGGGGTGTTGCGAGTATATCTGAGTAAATGAAGAAGAGATAATAGTGTGGGCTGGAGTTTGGCTCCCAGCTTTGTCACTTTCCAGCTGTGTGACCCTAGCAAGTTACTTAACCTCTCTGAACTTCTGTTTCCTCCTCTATAAAATGGGAATAAACCTCAGATGGTTTTCCTTAAGGAATAAATGTAATGAGATGATGACTATAAAACAATTAGGCAGTCAGTAAATGGCACACCATCATCATCTAGGGTATATTGGGTTATACACTGCATGTATGAGGACAGGTCTATATCTTAGTGTCTGTATTTAGGGGTGTGTCTGTACAAGCCTCAAGGGGGTGGGGGATCTAGGTGAGTGTTTCTTGAAGGAGCTGGTGAATGTGTATTATGTGTGCATCTCTGAAGCAAACATAAGAACTTTCCAGAAAGTTGGGTTTATATGGCACTGCCTGCCATATGACCCCCTCCTTCCCCGCCCCTCCACACACACCACCTTCCCTAAAGGCTGTGACTTGCTGAAATTGGTTCTATACCAGGACCAGTATCCAGGCAAAGAGATCAGGAACTGTGGATGCTGTTGTGTTGGGACTCTCAGATCTTCTCAGAAGTCTTTAGCCTCAAGAAAAGCTGGAATGGGGGTGACTGGCTAGACCCCAAGTGTGTGTGTGCCTGAGTGTGAAAGGGGGACTGTATTTGATGGAGTGGATATGAACATGAGAGAGCACGAAATGTGTGTGTGTGTGTGTGTGTGTGTGTGTGTGTGTGTGTAGGGGTGGCATTGGGGGGGTGGCTCTGTCTCTGCTCTGGTACAGTCTGCTTGTCTCCATGGCGCCTGTTGCCACACATGCTTGCTTTTCAGAAAGTCACTGGGATTGTTTATTCCACCCCCGGCCTGGGCGCCAGCCAAGGAGCTGCAGGAACTTGTTTATCTTCTGGTGTGTACGAGTGTGTATGGCTTCCCAGAGGCAGGCCAACTGAGATACGTGCATACACACAAACTCACATGGATGTGGGTGACCATGTTGGTTGTCACAAGACGAGCCTGAACCCTAGGATGAGCCAAAACCTGGGTCCAGGCAGACTCACTCCACACGAGGACAAAGATGACCCCCCAGCAGCCCCAGGGGACACACCACTAATCTAACAACCTCCAAAAGCTACAGGAAAGTGTGAGAGCCAGTTGATATGGCCTCCAGCCTGTGCTCTCCTCCCACCCCCCCAGAACTAGTCACTGCATAGGGGTTGGCCAGGCCTGGGTCACTGCCCACCCCTAAAGCTGGCAATAGGGTAAGTCACACCCCACCACCTAGACTGGAATGGGGAGGTAGTTCCCCAAGGAAAATGGTGATGCTGTGGTCAGAAAAGGGTGCACAGTGCTGGGCAGGCCATTACCTTGGTGTCTAGCACAAATGCTACCCTATACCTGGTGCTTGTTTTTTTTGTGTTTGTTTTTTTCTCCCTACATCCTCTTTAGAGCTCTGAGAGCTAAGTAGTATCTCAGCAAGATCTCAATAAGGCCACACAGCTAGTAACTGGCAAGGCCAGGATCTGAACCCGCCCTCCTGCCTCCAGGCCCTTTTTGAGCTACACTCTGCCTTAGCAACTGTTTTGTTTCGTTGTCTGGAAATTTTCATTTTTAAACGTGTTCTTATCAACAAGTCCCCATGGAACAAGAGTGGTTGGAGAGTGTGGCGAAGGGCACAGATAAAAAGACGCCCTGACTGTGCCCTCATAGCAGACACGGCCAGAGCTCTGACCACAGCCCCTCAGATGACTTTACCAAATCTGTGCCCACCAGCAGGGCTCCCAACAGCCAGGACCTGCATCTTTGTCAAAGAGCTGCCCTCTGACTGCAGAGCCCACTTTGCCTGCATGCACTGTGGGCTAGAAGCACCTGGAATTAACACACAGCCTCAGTGTCTGCCAGGCGCTCAGATATAAATACACCAACTCCCTTGGCCTTGGCCAGGAGAATTCTGAGATGTGCCTTTACGCTGTCTCCCAAGACTTCCTGAAGGATTAAGCTCACTCACCCACGTGGTAGCCAGCTTAATAACCACCTCTTATTGGATGCCTTCCTCTCCTGGATCCCCTTCCCACTCCCCTGCTGGTGTCCCTGCACCTCCCAAATAAACCACATCCTCTTGATCATTTTGGGGCCTGTGAGCTGCCCCAGGCTGCTGGATCCCATCCTGTTTTTCCACCCTGAGCATCTGGTCCCAGGCATCATGCTCTTCCTTCCTGGCATCTCCCCTTTCCCTCTCTGCTGGCCCTTCCCATCGGGATTTCGATGCCTCCAATCTTCTCCTAGCCCCCTGTAGAGACTGTCATATCTCCTTTCTCCCTCCAACTCTAAACTTGTTGAGAGAGTCATGTGCTTGCCCTCTCCACTTCCCATTTACTCATCAACCCCTCCTGCCAAGTCTGGCTTCCACCCCCACCACTCCACTGACTGTGCTTTCATCAAATTTCCATTATCTTCTTTTCAAGTCCAGAGGACAGCTCTCAGGCCATATCCTGTCTTCCTGACGTGGTTGGCCCTGCCCTCCTTCTGGAATATTCTCTCCCCTTGGCTTCTGAGGCATCACACTATCCTAGGTTCTGGTTTCTCATTTTTCTTTGCAGCCTCCTTTTTCCAGCTGGCCCCTTAATGTTGGTGTTCCTCGGGATGGACCTGGGGCCTTCGTCTCACCCTATTTGGTCTATACTCTCCCCTCAAGTAATGACACACCTTCATGACTTCCATCACCAGTTCCCTGGTCTGACCACTCCAGAGCTGGGTTTTGGACTCAGATGTGTCAGTATAGCTGTCCCACAAGCCCCTGCTGTCCCCAGGAGTCATCAGGTATCTGTCCTCCATCCACTTGGCTCCCCAAGGCAGAACCTCAGAGAGGCAACAGAATCCCCTCTCCCCTCACACCCACTTCCACCCCATGACCAAGGCATGCTAACTTTACCCCTAAATAGGCATCAAATCTGGCCTCTCCTCTCCATCCCAACAAATGCTGCCATGATTCAGGCAGCATCACCGCTAACCTGGACTACTGCCACTGGCCTCCTCGCTGATGCTGTGGTCCCGCTCAGATCCCTCCTCTTCCTGCCCCAGTAGGACATTTCAGATAACAGGTTGGTCTTACCACTTTTCACATCTTGTGAACTTTCCCAAGCCTCCATGTCTTCATCCGTATTAGGGGGCCAATCATGTTTACCGTGAAGGGCTATAGGGAGAATAAAATGAAATGACAAATGTAGAATAGAGTTTTTAAAGTGTGAAGTGAAGTACCCTTGTGGGCAATGAATGAGCAGTTTTCAGGGCCTGAAACGTTAGGAAGCTGCCCGGGTATGGATGTTGTCCGTGGTGCTGAAAATTGGTCCGGCCCTCTTCGGTGTTCTGCTTCCCTGGAATGCTGGCTGAAGACGCCCGTCCGTTCGATAGATTTTCTTCATTTGCTATCTAGATTTTTAAAAGAATTTTTTAAAAAAGACCACGGTGACTTAGGGTTCATCAGGTAAATGAGAGGAATAGAAAGTAAGGATTAAGCGAGAGTTTTCAGGAGTTAGACAGCTCCGCTACTAATTAACAGTGTGAGCACAAACAAGTGACCTATCAGTTTCTCAATGTCCTTATCTGCAAAACGGGGATATAATGCATTAATATTAACTTGCTTCTAAGTGATTGAAAATTGAAATTAGATGAAACCTGTGAACAAAACCATGCACGGTGTCTGCCCCTAAATAAGTGTTACATTATCGTTAGCTGTTACAATTTTTAGTAGATGGTTTCATAGCACAGATAAGAGGGTTTGTTTTTTTTTAATCATCTCTCAGCAACTACAGAATTATTTCTTCTCCTCTGGGAAGTCAAAGGAGAGGGGACTATTTCTCTGCCGAGAAACGCAGAGGCAAGGTTGGCATCAAGTCCTCATGTCCTTAGCAATTCAGATTCAACTGGAAGCCCCTGAACATCTACTTCAGGCTCCTTCATCCTTCCAAGACCCCTGTGAGGTGATTAATGTTAGTCCCATTTTATAGATCGAGAAACTGGAGCTCAGACAGGTGAAGTGATTTGCTCGAGGGGTACCCAGGGGGAGAAGAACTGGACCTGCACTGACTAGAGGGTGGGCGGGCATCTGGCTAGGGCGGCCGGTGGCGGGGGAATCAAAGGGACCACTCGCGTCCGCTCCACTCGCGGCGGCGTGGACAGCGGCGAGACAAAGGGAGGGGTGGGAGGGGGGAGAAGGCCGGAAGTGCAGCCAAGGTAGAGGCGGGAAATTTCCGCGCAGTGGGAGCTTGAAGATTTCGCTGACCTGGGTCCCCATCCAGACGTCGGGTGTCCTCGGGGAAGTGGCTTCCCCTTCTTTAAGCCCCAATTTGCTTTTCGGTGAAACATGGAGAGGGTGTTCGAGTGGCTGGACTAAGTGAGATCTGAGACAGCGCGCCGGCCCTCAACAAGGGCACAGCAAGAGGGCAGCCTCTCCGCCCCTCGGTTTCCTAGTCTGAAATGGGAACCGGGTCGAGGAGGGCGGGAACCCCAGGAGCCCAGGGGCCGCAGTGAGGGTGTCCCTCCCTCCCTCGGCCCCAATTCCCCGCCGGCACCGCCCCTCCCGGTTCCGAACCCGAGTCGGCCAGTGCGCATGCCCGGGGCGGGGCGCGGGGCGGGAGCGCGGAGCCGGCGCGGAGGACAGCTGCGCCGAGTCCGCGGGTCCGCCCGCCAGCCCGGCCGGAGGCAGCCGAGGCCGTTCGGGCGGCGGCAGCGGGAGCTGGAGCGCAGCGCTTCGAGGAGACTGAGCGGCGGCACGGCCGGGTAAGCGCCGCGCCCGCACCTGCTGCCCCTCCGGGCGGGCGGTATCAACCCCTTCATCTCTCTCGCCAACCCCGGAGTCGCTGTCCAGGGTCCTCGAACCGCCCGGGTGGCGGGGCTTCGGCCCCGCGCGCGGCGTGTGTCCGGCGTGAGCTCGGGTGCGTGTGCACGCGCGGTCGGGGGCGGCGGGTGTCCATTTCCACGCTCCTTGGAGGTCCGGGGCGGGGCGGGGGCGGGTCCCGCAGTCCTGGCAGAGCCCCGGAGGGGCCCTGCGGGCCAGCGCATACGTGTGTAGGACCCGGGTCCCGCGCTGGCCATGCCGCCTGCAGCCCCTTTGTTCCGCATGGCGGTGCGGGAGGGGGCGCTTCCCGCCACCGCGGGGCGGGGGTCCACCCGCGTTGATTCATTTCTTCCCTGGAGCAAGCTCAGCGATGGAGTGGCTCTGCTGTCTACAAGACACTGAGCATACTCGCTGTGGCACATTTAGTGTGGCACACGCTGGGGCCCCATCACACACTCACTGCGCGAAACCACGGGTCTGCACACATACACTATGGCCTTTGGTCATTCCATCGGACTCATACACTCGGCCACCTGTGCGCCCAGCCAGTACACCAAGTGGGAGCCTTGTGTACACATCTAGGCATAGCTAGCTACGCACTCACACCAGCCATCGCCTATCACAGCACACTCAACTCGACAGTACTCCCTTATCATAACACACTCACAGCCACCCTGCTCTGGCCTGCTTCTGCCTGTTCACACCTGTTCATCACAGTGCCCCTCATGTACTTCCAGGCCCTGGAGTAGGCTGTCACAATTGTGCACACACTCCCTGTCACACACTCTCTGTCTCTTAGCTTGCTGTCCACCCCCAACCCACACTCAGCCCAAGTGTACACACACTTTTGCCTTCCTGGGGATGGATGGATGGATGGATGCATGGATGCATGGATGCATGGATGGATGGTCTGGGAGCTGTTTCTGGAAGAAGGTTTGTCTATCACCGTTTGCTAGACTCCTTCCTTCTCCCTTCCAGCCCCAGACAAGAAGCTTTGCTGCTCTGAGGGTATTAGGATACAAGGGGATGAGGGGGCGAGGGCCAGCAGACCAGGATTTTCAGACACAGGCGCACACTCACACCTGCCAAAGCCCCACGAGCCTTTGTAAGTCTTGTTACCATGGGAGGAGGTGTTTGCTGCTGCCTGGCAGCCCTGGCTCCACATTGGGAAGAAATCCTAGAGGAAGAGGAATAGGCTGGCTAGGTGTCTGGGCCAGAATGGGCATTTACAAGGGCTTTTCTGCCCAGGAGCAGGGCACAAGTGCCTGTGCATACGTCTAGGCCAGCTCTCCCATGAGTGACATTCTGAGGCCATGTGGCCACACATGTGCACACCCACAGGGACCAAGTGCCCACCATGGGACACAAACAGGCCATTCTGCACACACAGGTTGCCCATGTGCACACCAAGCTCTTCTTGAACAGAATGCAGGAACCAGGTCCTGCTCCCCAGGTTGGCCTATGCTGGCACAAACATCCACAAGCTGTCTACATGCCCTCTGCACACCAGGTGAGCTGGCCCACACACCTAGGGGGTCATTTTAATCTTTTACCTCAATCGGGCTGCACCTCTGCTCATAGAGTGTGTGTTCCTACAGATGGCATGTGCAAGGGGGACCCGCTTGCTTCCTCTCCTGGGTGCTCCCTATACTGTTGCCTGTTAGGTCCAGGGGATGGGGAGGACCTTTGGACTAACCCCAAAGAGCAAAAACGGATTTTAAGAGCCAAGCGTCAGTGCCCAAGACCTTAGCTGATACAAGTGGGAAGAACCCAAACTTTGGGTTTAGACACAATAAGCTTTGAACCACAGCCCCCAGCCTCAACTGTATGGCCTTGGTGTTAAGTCTTTCCTCCCTCTGACCTGTGTCCTCATCTGCGAAATGGATGATGATGTCCCCTTCATGAGATTGTCGTGGAGTCCAAATGCTACAGTGAGCCTGAAAGTGCTGCGCCCAGGGCTTAGCACACAGTGGGAGAGTGATGGATCTGGGTTCCAGAGGGAGGAGTGGGGGTGAGGAGGTGGCGCCCCAGGCCTAGGTTGCCTCTTGGAAAAGTGTCTGGAGGAAATCGAGGCTTCTTCAAGAGCCAGGAAGGGCCTGGCAGAACTGTGAGCAGCAAAGCCTCTGGGATAGTATCTTGGCTGATTTTAAACCGAGGGCTGGGCCAGCTCTTCTAGATATAACTACCTCCCCTCCCCCATTTCACAGATTGGGAAACTGACGCCCAGAGTGTGAAAAGACTCAACCAAAGTCATGGAGCAGTTCAAAGTCACTAAGCTCAGGCTTGACCCCACATCTTTCTAATCCTTGGCCACTGTCCCTACCCCAAACCTGATCCCATGTCAGAGAACCTCGAGCTGGGACTTGAAAAGCTGGCTTCTTCCAGTGGGGGCTTTCAGAAGGGACATGTTACCAGCTGGATCATGCCTGCTTCCCAGAACCTGTTTCCTCCCCTGGAAATAAGAATATAACACCTGTGTACGAGGTGTGCACATATGTAAACACAATAAGGGCTTGATGTGTGTGAGGTCACCTCCCACCTTTCTGAGCATCTAGATCAAGGGTCAGAACTCAGGTGGCTAGGCCAGGCGGATAACATACATGAGGGGCTGGCTATAAGAAAAATTATGGTACAAATTCAGTGACCGATGGCAACCAACAATCAGCCTCAGTGTCCAGGGCATCATAGGGAGGGTCGGAGATTGTGGCTAATTGGAGAGTACTCCCACATCTAACAAGGCAACCACTTCTTGGCTCCAGCCATGCAGGAAGCACGCTCAGATTGCCAAATTTAATTTTCCAAGAGAAGCTGGAAATCTGATTTTCACATGAAATCTTCTAATTTTTAGAAGTTAATTCCTTAAAAAAATTTTTTTCGTTTTAGCACTCTGGGTCAAACAAGCATGTCTGAAGACTGGGTTTGCCAGTTTGTGCCTCTGCTGTTGGCTCTCTCTCCTCTGTCCCCTCCTGGGAGCACAGCTGGGCTCTGACAGACTGAGAAGATAAAAACAGGCCTTCCAAATACACAGCCTGGCTGGCCCTAAAGTGCAGAGCACAGGCACCCCTCATTTTCTTTAATTCTCACAACAGTCCTGTGGGAGCAGGGGGTGGGTTTGCCAAGGTCCGCAGTGAGGAGAAGGGACTTAACCGAGGTCACAGAGCTGGTAAGTGGAGAGCTGTCCTGACTTGCTACACAGGCTGCACCCAGGGGCAGGGAGCTTATGAGGGTGGCTAATGTGAGGGGACCTCAGGGCTACCCGGGGTAAAAGGAGGGGTGGTGAGGACTCAGAGCACCCCTCCTACAGCCCTTGCTGACTTCTTCAGCTCCATCTCAGGTTTCCCGTATGCCTGCCAGGCAGCAGTTGAATTCCTATTTTCCACAGGAGGAAACTGAGGTTCTGAGAGTCAGGCATGGCAGGCAGACCCCAGTCCTCATCAGAACCTGGGTCCTCTCTCTTGCCCATCTACCCAGTTGACCTGGCTTATAACATCCTTTCCCATAGCCACAAGGACCAGGGAGATGAGAGGTCTGAAGCAAGCGACCTGGGAGTCAGAGCTGGCCCACAAAAGTGAGTTCTTTGGCCTGTGTGGTAGTTTTCAAGTTAGCCAACATTTAAAATATAGCAAAATCCAGACTGATGACTTTGCTCCAAAAATTAGAACTGGCCATGCAGGAGCCACATTTACTTCCCTGCTTAAAACACTCCAGGGGTTTGCCTGTAGCCTGAGGACAAGCCCGACTCCCCCGCCATGGCCCTGCATGCCAGGCTCCCGCCTGCCTCCTCCCTCTCCCGCTTCCAACTGCACTCCAGCCACCCAGGCCTTTTCATGGCTGCCTCAGTTGTTACCTCCTCAGAGGGGCCTTCCTCTACCATGTGTTAAACCAGCTGCCTACTCCTTTGTCTTCACAGCATCTATTGGGTTGTTGAAAAAGTCATTATGTAATTTTTCTATGTTTTTCGTTGCAAACATGCGTCATGACTTTTGCGACAACCCAATGTTATTTAAAATAACACAATTTATTTGCTTACTTGTTAATTGCTTGCCCCCCAATCTTTAGACACCTGGAGGGACCATGCATTTCTATTAATTGCTGAATCCCCAGTACCAAAAACAGTGTTTAGAATATTGCATATGTGCTCAATAAATGTTCAATCAATAAATGAATTCCTGATTAGCTAATAGAACTGAGTGCAGCTGCCCCTTTAGAAGGGGCCAGTGCTCTCCAGCTTACCACAGTCCCCACCACTCCCTCTTGGCTCTCTCACCCTGAGGATGTCAGGAGTCTTTCATCATCTCACTCTGCTGTTTTCCTTTTGGGAGAAAAATATAACCCATATAACCATCAAGAGGCAAAAAATGAAGATGGATGCAGTCCATACCACTCAAATCTGATGACTGCCTGACCCCTGTGGGCCATTGATCTCCAACTCATTTTTATGCTGCTGAAAACCAGATCCAAAGAATTCCAGCCAGACTTCTCCTGTGCTTCAAACCTGTCTCACAGCTGCTGGACGTCCCCCCATAAGTCCTGTAGGCATCCAGTTCACCTTCTCCAAACCAGTGCCCCACCATCTTCTGCAAAACCTCTCCCTCTGCACCCCCATTATGGTGATGCCTCCCACCCCCAAGTCGTATAAACCCAAAGCCTGCGCACCCAGTGGTGAACAGAGGGATCTGGGTCCCCATCCAGGGAACTGAGGTCTAGGCAGAGACCCAGAGGTGTAAAGGGCTAAGTGCAGAGTGACGTGAGTCTGGTTAGGGGAAGAACTAGAGGCTGTGGGAACCCCAGGGGAGCTGGTGGGCAAAGACGGCTTTCAGAGGAGGAGGCATGTAAACTGAGACCTGAAGGTTGGGTGAAAGCCAGGCAAGAGGGTGTGTAGAGGCTGAGGTGGGAGAGATGTGAAGCCATGGGGGAACCCAGGGAGATGGTCATGTGTGCATGTGTGTGCATATGTGTGTGTGCATGTGTGCATAAATATGGGTGGGTGTGTGTGTGTACATATACATGCTTTGGGGGAGGGAGTACATGATGAAACATACAGCCCGGCAGATCAGTAAGTCTGCAGGGACTTGAAAGCACATTATGGAGTTGGACTTGACCCTAAAGGTAATATGTGGAGTCACTAAAGGTTTCTTTCTTTCCTGTTTTTTAAAAAAAGTAATATGTGCACATATAACCCAAATTCAGCCTTCACAAAGGATCATACACAAAAGCCCCTTCCACTTCCAGATCCCTGGTCTCCCTTCCCAGAGGCAATCACTGCTAAAAGTTTCATGGGTTTCCTTCCAGAAATGTTCTCTTTATAACTAAACCATAGATGTGTATCTGTTCTTTTCCTTCGCTACACTCATGGAATCCCACTGGCCATGCTGTCCCCTGGCTTTTTTCACTTATCTTGGGCATCTTTCCTCATCACTCCACACATTCTGACAGTGGTCGTCCTGCATTTCGCAAATCTGCTTCCTGGTTTTCTTCTCATCACCAGCCATGTCCTCGTGCACCTTCCACGCACCATCAGTCTCTCTTCAAGACCGTCCCTGGAGGTGGGCGTGCTGGCCCAAATACTATGTGCACTGAAAACTTTGATAGGAATTGATAAATGTCATTCCAAAAAGATTATAGCCAATTTACTTCCCCAAAAAGAGCTAGGGAGAGTAAATTGCATGGAATGGCATGGTTGGACCAACATCTTAGAAAAACCATTCAGTCCTTCATTTACCAACTACTTATTGGGAGCTACCAGCTTACTACTTGCCAGTCATTGTTCTCAACCCTGAGGATACATCAGTAAACACAACAAAATCCCCCTGTCTAAAGCTGACATTCTAATGGGAGAGACAAATAGTTTGCAATAAAGCAATGTAATATGTTGGATGGTGACAGATACCCTGAAGAAAATCGAGCAGGGCAATGGGGATGCAGAGCACCAGCAGTGTTGGGGAGGAGGCTGTTTTATACCGATGGGTCAGGGAGCAGGCCATGCAGCTATCTGGTAGGAAAGCATTGTAGGCAGAGGAGACAGCGATGCAAAGGCTCCAAGGCAGGTGTTCAAGGCTCAGCCAGGCAGCCATTGTGGCGGAAGCAGCATAATTGAGGGAGAGGTAACAGGGCCAGAAAATGTAGGGTCTCGTGGGGCCATCGTAAGGAGGTTGCTTTTACTTTCCATGATAGGGGGACACACAGCCTGGTTCTGAGCACAGGAGGGGTGTGATCTGCCTTGGGTCCTACCAAGATCCCTCCGACTGCTGTGTTGAGAATGAGCTATGTGGGGTGAAGGAAAAAACGTGGTCCTGAGGGCAGTTGGGCAGTGCTGAAGACCCAGGTGGGATATGGTGCGGGTTCAGCTCAGGGTAGTGGCCGGATTGTGGGTATACTTTGAAGGTAGATCCATTACATTTTGCTGATGGATGGGACGTGGGCTGTGAAAGTCAAGGGTGACTAGGGATTTTGGCCTGAGCACTAGCAAGATGGCTTTGGAGATGAGGGCAGGAAGAGCAGGTTTGGGGGAATCGGGAGCTCGGCTCACTTTGGCTGCTGAGTGTGAAATGAAACGGAGCTGCTCGCAGACCCAGTTGGCTGCCAGATCCTCTTCTGGCTGTCCCCCAAGTACCACACACGTGGCTTACCCAAAACACAACTCTCCCTTTCCCTACATCTCCTGCCCAGCACCATCACCCAACGACCCACCTACCCGCAGCCAGAACCCTGCAGGCCACCCCACTGTCACCCCCTCCAGCCAGCTGGATCCTGTAAGTTTTCCCTCAGAGCCCTCCATCCTGCCAGCACCCCATGCCCGGGACCTTCGCTGCAGTGTCTCCCACCTAGACCACTGCAGCTGCTCAGGGTCGCCTGCAGGGAAGGGGCTGGGTCAATGAATGAAGGACTGGATGAATGAGAGTCATTGATAGCCTCCTCATAGGTCTTGGCCAGCCCCTCTCCTCCAGCGCAGCCTCCACACCATCCCAGAACAATCTCTGAAAATGCACATATTGGACTATGTCCCTTCCTTGACTACCAACTGTTCACAGCTCCCCAAGGCCCACACAGCCATGAACTGGTGGCCTGCAGACACACTTTGTTTGGCCCCCATAGTGTTGTTTTTTTAAATCTTGAATTAATTAGGATGTTTTACATTAAAGTGCTGGATTTCCCACTTCTCAATGGTACCACCAAGATGTACTTCCTGGTAGAGACTCCACTTGGCTGGTGGAGTCATGGTTCCCGACTTCGACAGGGCATGTGCTCTCACTTTACTGTAGTCCTCACCACCCCCTACTGTTTTATACCTAGCCTGCTTCCGTCACTTCAGTTACCTACCTGGCCCCTATGGCATCAGAGTTTGTGACCCGTGGGCAAGAGAACAAAAGTAAAATGTCTGGGTAGCATATTGCAGGGGGTGGGCTGACAAGGGAGGGGTAGATGAAGTTGAAAAGTTACACTGTGGCCAAATTGTGAAGGATCGTGAATGCCATGTTAGGAAGTCTGGCCTTTATCCAGAGGCCACTGGAAGCAGTGAAGCAGGGGAGTGATGTGGGTGAGTTAGTGCTTTTAGCCCAGGCTTGTTGGACATGAAGAGACCAGACGGGGACAGAGAACCTGGTGAGGGGGCCTGGCTGCCAGGAAGAGGGTGAGAGAGAGGAGGCACCTCCCTGCTGGGTCTCCCCTGAGCCTGAGTCTGCTCTCTCTGTGTTTCAGAACCAGACAGCAGCCTGGGGCTGAAGCAGGGTCATGAGGACAGTTGGCCTGTACTGAAGACCCAGCTGGCTCCAGCTGATTTGAAAGGACTCCAGCTCCCCAGGACCCCGGCCAACAGCCCTCTGCTGCCCACAGGATGGGAGCCTGGGGGCTGGGAGCCTGGCCATGAGGGAGTACTGCCCCTCCCAGCTAAAGGCCAGCCCTGCACCCCCCAGGCATACCCCTGCCCAAAGCCCAGGCATGGACTCCACACACAGCAGCCCCAGTGGGACTAGGGAAGGGGCCTCCTGCTCTGAGGGTCTTGGTGGGAGCTTGGCCTGCCCCTCCCTGACCTGTATCCCTCCCCAAGAGGCAGCCACCAAGGAGACGATTGGGGCACATGGAGCCTCAATCTCAGGGACACCAGAAGTCACCTTCTCTGGGAAGCCGGAGCCTGTGTTCTCAGTGAAAACTGATCCTTCATCCTCAGAGAACAGAAATCCTATGTTCTTGGAGAAGGTGGACTCCAAGTCTTCAAAGCAGGCCGACTCCACTTCCATCAGAAAGGAAGATGCTGGGTCCTTGAGAAAAGCAGATCCCATGTTCATAGGAAAGACAGAGCCTGCAATCTTGGGAAAGAGGGATCCTATGGCTTCTGGAAGGATGGATCCTGGGACCCCAAGAAAGGAGGAGCCTGGACTCTTGGGAAAGGTAGATCCTGCATGCTCTGGCAAGATGGATACACTGTCCACAAGGAAAGAGGATCCTGTATCCTTGGCCCAAGTGGATCCTGTGTGCCCAAGACGGGAGGAGTCCACGTATTCAGGACAAAAGCTTCCTATGTCCTCAGAGGAGGTGGGTCCTGCATCTGCAGGCAAGGCAGATCCTGGGTCCTTGGAAACACTGCCTCCAGGATCAGCAGGCAAAATTGAACCTGTATCCCCTGGAACGGTGGCTCCAGGGTCAACAGGAAAGGTGGACCCTATACTCTTGTTGAAGATGTCAGATCCTATATCTATGGGAAATGCAGAAACCATGTCCTCCATGAAAGAAGACCCTCAGTTCTTGCGAAAGACGGATCCTGCTTCCTCAGGGAAGGGAGATGCTGTGTCTGTGAGAATGACAAAAACCGGGTCTGCTGGACAGGTGGAGCCTGTGTCTTCAGGCAAGATGGGTCCAGTTTCTTTAGGAAAGGTGGATCCCATGTCCTCAGGAAAGCCAGAGCCCTTGTCTCCTGGGCAGGCTGAACCGACATCTGTGGGAAAGGCAAAAACTATATCCTCAGGCAAGGAGGACCCAGCGTCCTCCAAAAAGGTGGATCCCATTTCTGTGGAGAATACAAAAACATCGTCTTCTGGAAAAGTGAATCCTGAATCTTCAGGAAAGATAGACCCTGTGCCCTCAGGTCCAGGGGATCTCGAGTTCCTGGGGACAGCGGGGCCCTCATCCTCTGTAAAAGCTGAGGTCGTGACTGGGGGGAAAGCAGATCCACTGTCCTCAGAAGAGGCAGGTCTTACGGCCTCTGGGAAGTCGGAGCCCCTGGCCGTGGGCAAGGTGGACCGTGAGAGCAGGGCAAAGGCAGGAACCGTGCCCCCTGGAGAAGTGGACTCCGTGTCTTTAGGAAAGGTGGCCCCCAAGACTCTAGAACAAACAGTCCTAGGACCCTCGGGAAAAGCAGAAGCTGTGCCAGAGCGAAAGGTGGGTCTTCTGCCTCTAGAGAAGGGGAATCCTGTGAACTCCACAAAGGTGGACCCCAAGACCGCAGGCAAAGCTGAAACAAAGCCCCCTGAGCAGGGAGGCCCCGCTTCATCAGAAAAGGCAGAGGCTGCATCTCTGCGGAAGGAGAAGCCACAGGCCTTGGAGAAGGGGGATCCCGGATCTTCAGAAAAAGCAGACCCTGTTGCTTTTGGAAAGGTGGAACCTGTAGCCCTGGGGAAGGCTGATTCTGCGCCTCGGGGAAAAGTCGAGCCCCCATCCTCGGGGAAGGCGGCCCCCCTGACTCTGGAGCAGACGGAGGCCTCCCCGTCCGGGCAGTCAAGTGGCAAAGCCTGCGGCTCAGCCCCCTCTCCCTCAGGGGCGGGGAGTGGCGGGGACGGCGTGGAGCCAGCGCTGCCAACCAGCACCGAGGCCTTCAGCCTCGGCCAGAAAGACCCGGTGGCTTCAGGGGCCCAGAAAAGCCCCGGCCTGGAGGCCGCTGCTCCCCTGCGTGGGCCACGGACTCGCGACAACTTCACTAAGGCGCCGTCGTGGGAGGCGAGCGCACCGCCGCCGCCGCCACGCGAGGACGCTGGCACGCAGGCAGGTTCGCAGGCCTGCGTGTCGGTGGCCGTGAGCCCCATGTCTCCGCAGGATGGCGCGGGTGGCCAAGCCTTCAGTTTTCAGGCTGGGCCGGGCGCACCCAGCCCCGCACCCAGGCCGCCCTCGCGCCGGGACGCGGGCCTGCAGGTGTCGCTGGGCGCCGCCGAGATGCGCTCCGTGGCCACAGGGCCAATGACGCCGCAAGCCGCCGCGCCGCCCGCCGCGCCGCCCGCCTTTCCCGAGGTGCGAGTGAGACCAGGCTCTGTGCTGGCAGCCGCCGTGGCGCCCCCAGAGGCGGCCGAGCCCGTGCGCGACGTGAGCTGGGATGAAAAAGGCATGACGTGGGAGGTGTACGGCGCCGCCATGGAGGTGGAGGTGCTGGGCATGGCGATCCAGAAGCATCTGGAACGACAGATCGAGGAGCACGGCCGCCAAGGGGCGCCTGCGCCACCACTCACCGCACGCTCAGGCCCGAGCCGTTCGGCCTCAGTGCGTGCTGCGCCTCCCGAGGGCGCCGCCAAGCGCCCGCCTGGCCTCTTCCGCGCGCTGCTGCAGAGCGTCCGCCGGCCGCGGTGCTGCTCACGGGCCGGACCTACGGCTGAATGATCTGCCGCCCCCTTTTGTACGCCCGGGTTTCCAACCTTCTCAGGCACCCTTCTTGACCCCAGGCCCCTAGAAGGGATCCCCTCGACGCACGATAGGCCTCCGAGTGGTGGGCAGCCTCTAGGGCCCTCATCTCCTTCTTTCCAGCCCCCTTCCTTCCCACACAAATGAACCCCCTCTACCTAGCTTCCTCGTGGTCATGAGCCCATAAGCCCAGCCCTGAAACCCTACTGTCCCCTCACAGCCCTCAGCTCCACTCCCACTCGGTCACACTCGGTGACCTCGGGGACCTGCTCACCACCCCGACCCGCATCTCCAGCCCTGAGAGCTGAGGCAGGCCCTGGAAATGTCCAGACTGGTGCGCTGACAATGGCGGCCAGGTCCCCGGAACGGGAGAGACTGTACAAAAGCTCCAAGTGTGCAAGGATTGGTGTGTGAGGCCCTGGGCGTGTGTGAGTGTGTGTCCTCGCCATGGGCTGGCCCCCATGGCCCGGGCATCTCTTGCATGCTGGTGGTCATCCCCAAATTCTGTCTGCCCCCTCACTGGCCCAATCCCCAGCCCCATGTCCACCCTCACAGGGCACCCGTTTTACAATTTTCAGGCAGCTGCAGGAGTGCCCTGGGGGCTCAGTTAAAAGCAGAGTCATGGCAAGGTCAGAGGGTCTCAAACAGGTCTGGGGATCACAGTCAGAGGCTCACTGAAGGTTTTGGGCCACAGGCAACCTGGTGACAGCTGGTCTTGGGTATTTGGGACAGAACGGAGAGCTCCTTCTACAACCATAGTTGTCCTTTAAGGCCACCCTCTCCAGCTCCTTGTTCCCCCTGTGCTATGAGCCCCATAAGTCTCTGAGGACCAATCAAGTACCCCTGTCCCCACTCCTCCAGCCACAGTTTTTGGCTACAAACTGTCACAATATACATTGGTAATAAAATTTTTCCCCAACTCTTGATAGCTGTGATTGGCTACAAGCAGAAGGGAGCAGAGCAACACAATATATTATGTTCAGGGAGGGTAGGTATAGTTTGGGGGAGACAGGTCCTCTTCAGAGGTAGACCAGCAGAGGGGGGCCCATCACAGGTCTGTGGTGTCCAGGCCAGCATTGGTGAACGACACTTGATTCTGCTGCCCACCTGTGCCCGCCTTTCTTCCTGACAGCACCACACTCAGGGGCTCTTCATCTGCCTCCATCGAACTATGCAGGGGCTCCTTCTGTGGGGGGAGAGAGAGGGGAGGTGTGAAGGATACGGTGGGGTGATCTCCACAGGCCCTTCAAGCCTACAACCAGATGGTTCCTTGGCTGGAGTCCCAGCTTCCTGGCTGTGTCCCAGAGGTAGCCATGGCCACTGGAGGTGCAGATGGGCTAAGGTAAAGGGCTGGGCCTGGGGTTGTCTACTCAGGCCTTTGCCCCATCCATGGACACAGTGGCACCTTGGTGTTCTGCCCAGTCCTGAATAATGCCAGGCCCTAGGTCCTGTGCTGAGGAGCCAGTCCAGCACAGTTCCTGTCACCTGCACCTCATGGCAGGCACCGTGCTGAGTGCAGCAAATCCATTACCTGAAGTACCCACAGGAACCCCCTGAGGGAAGGATCGTGTGCCCCATTTTACAGGTGTGGAAACAGGTTCGGAGGGCTTCCATGGCCAGGAGGGGACAGAGCAGGGTTTGGGCCGCTGGTCTTGCTGGCTTTAAAGTTTGTCCACAGCACAACACTGCCCTTGGTTCAATTTAACATCTGCCAGCCTCAGAGGAGCACATTGTCACCCAGAGTCCCACCCTTTCATGGTGGTGCTCACTCACTCATCTCCCTGCCTTCTTCCCCTTCTCCATGTGACAGATTACACGCACGTGCACGCGCACACATACACACACCTCACAAGTTCACCCTCCTGTGGACCAGCCAGCCCCAGACTCAAACTACTCCACAGCAGGGACACCATGGGGCAGGGTCGCCACTGCCACCACCCTCCCCAGGACACTCCAAGCACTATTTCCAGACTGGAGCTCTTCCAGTCCCTGGTAAACAGTGGAACAACTGAGGGGCCCCAGGATGGGCTAAACATTCTCCTTGTGCTCCCTAGAGCCCTTGCCACAGACACTCCGCAGTAGCTGTTGGCACAGTGTAGCCCAGGAAAATGTGGCCTGGCCTGGGAGACAGAAGACCTGGGTTCTGGTCTGCCCTTGCCTTGCAAGATTTATGACCTTGGGCAAGTCAGCATCCCTCTCCAGCCTCGGTTGCTTAAAAAGTTTGAACTAGATCAGCGGTTCTCAACCTGTGGGTCGCAACCCCTTTGGGGTTCAAATGACCCTTTCACAGGGGTCGCCGGGTACTTGTATGTGGGTGTATCTGCATGTGGGCCTGGAGACGGATAGAGGAGCGGTGTCTCGGTTCCTAAGACCATCGAAAATATGTGTTTTCTGATGATCTTAGGCGACCCCTGTGAAAGGTTGAGAACTGCTGAACTAGATGATGTCTCAGCTATCTCATATCTTTCACACACACTTATAGAGGTCTTGGCTGAGTCAGGGTACCAGGAATCCAAGGAAAAAGCCTCCTCACTGCTGTGTTCCCCACTCAGCCAAGGAAGAGGAGGGGCAGCCAGCTCCTGAGAAGGCGCCATGGCCTCCTGGGCCTGCCCAGAGACCCCAAGGCCCACCAACTGCTGCAGGCGAGAGGGTAGGGCCTCAGGGAGCTTCTGGAAATATAACGACCCCCTAACATACCAGGACAGCCTTGGCTCTACCCTGGCTTTGAAGGCCCCTTCCCTCTCCAGACTCTTCTTTCAGAGCTCCCTACCCATCCCTAGCCCACAGGTCCAGCTCCATTGCTGGGGCCCCTGATTCCATTCCCCTCTGGGGGTCAGCTTTGGCCTCTGCCAGGAGCCACCTGTCTGGCTCCCAGCTCTGGCAGGTAAGACTGTTCCCTTCTGCCTTAGTTCCCCCCAAGACATGTTCTTTGGAATTTTTGCCTCAAACTATCTATAACCAGAGATGAGCCACCTTCCCAAAGGCTTCCTGGTAGTTTGGATTGCCATCTATGATCCCCATCTTTGGAGGCTCGTTTGGAGGCCTCCATGTCACGGCCTGGTCCCTGTGCAACATTCTGGTATTTTAACACCTATGAGAGGCTTTGGTTGACCAAGTTCTTCCATGTAAGGCGTCCTCAAGGGAAAGTAAGTACCGAAGCATGAAGGAAAGGTGGCGAGCCCCAGAGAGCAGGGCCCAGCTGAGGGCAGGACCCAGAAGGGAGTGGATTCAGTGGATGGTGAGTGGATAGCTGCACCCCACCCCACCACACACACACACACACACACACACACACACACACACACACACACACAGAACCGCAGACTTAAAGCTCAGTGGGCCTTAGAGCTTCTATTCCAGTGGTGGTTTTCAAAGTGGGAAGGAGAGATGGTAGCTTCTTCCGGTTCTGGTGCCCTGCCCCTCTCGGAAAGGACCCATCCCCCATCCCGCCTACTGATCTACTCTCGTGCTTCTCAATCCTGCTTACACTTGAGAACCCCAGGAGCTTTAACAACATGTTCATGCCAGGCCCACCTCAGCCATCGGATCAGAATCCCTGGGCTATGACACCATATGTCTAAAAAGCTCCCCACATGATTCCAATCAGCAGCCCAGGCTGCGTGAACTCTTACTCTAATCGATCCAACTATTATGATACAACAAATGATTGTACTATTATTTAGTTGAACCTACCTTCTCTCCTTTGCTAGGTTATATTCACCTCCAGATCTCTTCCCGACCCTGCCAGCTTTTATATAAAAGCTATAAAGGCTGGGAACCAGATTTTTTAGTATTTGCTTTGTGCCAGGTGGTTTTTATACCCACTCTTACTTATTTCATCCTCACAACAGCCCTGTATGGTTGATGTTCTGATCTCCATTTACAGGTGAGAAAACAGAACCAGAGGGATAAGTCACCCACTGAGGGTCACAATGAACCATAGAGAAGCAAGGACACTCCATTCCAGAGCCATAGGGTGTCCCCAGACCTGGAGCAGAGACATGCTCAAGTCAGCAGCAGATCCTTCAGCTGTGTCCTGAACCCCACCCTTCAGACAAGGACCCCAAGTTATAATCCCCAGACAACAACTCATCCATCCGCCATCTTGCCTTGGATTTCTGTTTGTCCTTTTCCAGGTCCACGGTGTTGTTGTCCAGGGAGTTAAGGCTGTGGGGGAGATGATGGAGTTCAGGTATTTGGCAGGCCCAGCCCTCCCTGTCTGTGGTCAAGAACCACCACTGCCTCTACCACCTTCACCATCTTCACCACCATCACCTCCATCAGCATCACCGCCATCACCAGCACCATCACCGCCATCACTAGCACCATCACCACCAACAACCAGCCTGGCTATGCTCACCTGATATGGTCCAGGTCGCTGGTGGAGGATTGAGACTCAAAGCCTAGGTCGTTGGTGTCGAGGTTCAGCATAGGATTGGCCCTGGAGAGAAGGCCTAGTCAAGCAGCCGTGGGCCTCAGCTGTCCTGTGGGGCCTCTTACCCACCCTTTAAGCCCTGCTCACCTCTCAGAGGTATACATGTTAGTCCCAGGGATGGCAGAGACTGTGGGCATTACCCCCGCTGCTGTCTTCCGGGCCTCTTTGGCAGCCTTCATAGCCCGAAGCTTCCGGTGGTAGCTGTGGGGAACCAGGAAAGGGGTCACTACTTTCCCTGCACACCTGTGTGCCCAGTGCAGGCCCTGGGGGTGTGTCTTCACAACAACACTGTCAGGTGTGAGTGTTCACTCCATTTTGTGGAGGGTACAAGTAAGAGCCAGAGAGGGGAAAAGATTTGCTAAAAGCCACACAGTTGGCAAATGGCAAGGCCTAGAATCAAACCCAGATGTGGCTGCTGACTACAAATGTATTGGAAAGGGAAAAAGAAGGAAGCAGCATTTATTAAATTCACAGCATGTGCCAGATATCTTGCTGGGTATGAGATGCACATTGCTTCCTTGAAAGCTTTGAGGAATCTAGTGTCACATCCATTCTGCAGATGAGGAAACTGAGTCTCGGGGAGGAGAGATGACCTGCCCAAGATATCACAACAGATAACTGGGGATTGAATACAGATATACCCGACACCTAAACCCAAGTTCTTGCTCTCTCCTCCCCACCATGTCTTGGGAGGTAGGAGAGGTGGGGCTGGAGACAGGGTGAAGGGAGCAGCACCTCTTCCGGACACACACGAGGGCCGTGGCCATGATCAAGATGACCAGCAGCAAAGCCACTCCCAATCCTATGATGGTGCTAGTGAGCAGCTTCGGCAAGTCTGACTCCAGTGTCTCCTGGGAGCCCTGGAGAAGAAGGAATGTGAGGGAGGCCCTGGGGTCGATATGCCCCACCCCACTCGCCATCACTTCTGCCTGCCAACACTCACCAGCACCACCAGCCCCAGCTGCAGCAGCTGCGTCAGTGAGTCCTGATCTTCCCGGATCATCCTGTCCACAGAGCCCCGCTCAGGCCCGAGCGACATTGGCATCCCCCATGCTTCCCGAGTCACCCTCCTGCCCACCCCAAAGGCAGCCCCACTCACACACTCAGCTCATCAACTGTCAGGGCCGACCCATTGGAGAAGACAAAGTAGGCATCGAGGTAGGACCGACCTCGGGCCCTGGAATGGGGCAGGAGTGAGGAGTCAGCAGCCTAGAACCAGCCGGCAGACCCCTCCTGCTGCTGTTTCTCTTCCTTGCCCAACCACCGGACCTGCGGGCACTCACCGAGCTGTGGATTCTATGTCCTTAATGTCCACAATGTAGACAGTAGTCCTGGTCGCCTGGGCAAGAGCCCTACAAAGGGGGCAGGTGTCACAGAGGCTTGGGTTAAGGGCCTTAAACCAGGCCTATGGCCAGAGTTCAGCCAGTGAAATTAGGAATTGTGTGAATTAGAAAGGGGCACTTCCTCTGGACAGCTCCATTGGCTAAGCATCTAGCACCTCTGTGCAAACAGACAAGGAAGCTCCTTCCTCTGGGGCTGGATTTACAGCTTAGCAAGCAGAGTGCCCTTGTGCAGTATACAGCCTTAGCAACTGTACATGGCAGCCTTATTTATACCTCTCCCTGCCCAGCCAACCATAGTCTTCTAGGGACATGCAGAAAGGAAGTGCAGGTACAGGGTCAAGGACAAGATATAGTGTGAGCCTGGCCCAGGGTTGAGAGACATTCCAACCAGGTCTTATCAGGGCCCAGGTTCCCAGGCCCTGTTCTTCCCCACAGCCTCCTTCCAGGCTCCCCAGACCTACGCCTTAATCTTCTCCGTATTGGCGCCCACCTCCTCCTTGTTCGTGGAGAACTGCAGCCTCACACGGTAACTCTGGTCCACAGTGAAGAGCTACGAGAGAAGGGCATGTGGGGAGATGAGGCACAAGGGACCCAGGGACTGGCAGAAGGTACTGGGGGCTGCGGGCAGGACCCAAGGCTCACATTCAGGGTGATCTTGGCTTTCTGGGCAGGACCCACGGAAGGTCTGTCCTGGGCCTGTACTGTCACTTGGTAGGTACCTTGGAGAGTGGAATCAAGGCTGGTCACCAGCCTGTGGGAGGTAAGAGGGCACAGCTCAGTCTTGGAATCCAAGCTGGAGTCCTCTGGAGCCCACTTGTATACCTCCAAGGATGGGGAACTCAATGCCTCGAGGGCCCATTTAGGCTTCCCGCCCCCATTCAGGGGCTGCCCACAGTTACTCAATGTTGCCAATGAACACGTCGGCCTCCGAGGAGTTGGAGACCCGGAAGAAGCCCTGGAAAGGGATCACGGTCCCATCCTTAGAGATGAAATTCACTTGGAGGATGGAGAACACGATGGCCCCGTTGCTCCCTGAGTCGTTGTCTCTAGCCTGGGAGCAAGAAGGGACAACATCTGTGGACCAGGCCAGGCACCCCTCCACCCCCCAGCAGGAATCAGAGGCCAGGATGGCCCGGGAGGCTGGTCCCCATAATCTCTATCAGCTTTCCACAGGCCACCCAACTGAGAAAATGCTTTAAACAAACTCAGGTTTGGGCAAGTCCCTGCCTCTGGCCCCCCAATTCACTGGGTCACCACCCAAAGACCCTTTCACATGGAAATCTCCCCTGCTCCCCCCACCCACTACTACATACACACACACAAGCACAGGAACACTCAGATTTCCTGAGCACCTACTGTGTGCCAGGCACCTTCCCTTGGAGCCCTCAGTGCTTACTGACAAGAGTACACATTCCCCTAGTGGGCCATGAAGTGACTGGGGGAGAAGGCACAAACATTTTTATTCGTTCTAGTGCCTTCTAAAGAAAAATATAGCCAACACACAGAGCCACGAAGCCAAAGCTGGTGTTTAAGTTTTAAAAAGAGCCGATTGCAAAGAAATTGTTCAAAGCCATGGCCAGACTCATGACATTGGAAGGCAATAGGCTGGAGATTGGAAAACTGACTGTTTAAGGCTTGAAAGAACCTAGTGAGGGAGAATTACTATCCCCCTTTTATGGGAGGAAACTGAGGCCCCAAGAGAGTCCCTATCCTACCAAAGACAGCTCTAAGTGGGGCAGGTCAGGCTGTGCATCTCCTACACCCACGCCCTTGCCACAGGATAGGGAGCAGCACCAGACATCACCGCCTCTCAGCCCTAAGAGGTTGCTGCCAGCTTCTTGTCCATGAGGGAGACTGAGGTCCAGAAAGCAGTGAGGCCCAGCTCAGCCCAGGCCTCAGGCTGTGAGGAAAGCCTCACACTCTGTACAGCAAGCATAGCCACCACCCTCGAACAAACACACTGCATCCAACACCATAAAAAAAATTGAAGTCTTTTTATGTTTCTCTGGAAATTATTTAACTACAAGGAACTCATTTAATTTACAACTGCTACAATTTCTCTGTAATACTCAGGAATTCTGGTGTAGCGAGACAAATCTAGCCTGTAAGTGGTTTTTATGGTCATGAAATTTTTATGAATACTACATTTAACAATTAATGGAGTTTAATCGTATCAATTAGGCAGGTGTTCATTTCCATTCTGGGCTTTCTTTTCACATGTTGGAGCCAATACACTTCCTTTCCAGTGTTAAAACATTTTGAGGGTGGCTCAAGGACATGAAGGCCTTGGCCCTGTGTCTCCTGGAACTAATGTGACAGACAAAGGCTGAAGCCAAGGACTTACCCGGACAAAAGCCACCTGCTGATTGGGTATCACAACTTCTGGGATGACCACTACAAGTGTGGACAAGAAGAGGTCAGTGGGGTCAGGGCCAGAGCCCACCTGGCCTAGTGCTGACCCCGACCCCAGCTCATCCCCTCAAAACTTCCCTCAACCTCTCTACCACCAGAGACCCCCATGACAACTACCCTTGAGCCATTAGTTCACAGGTCATCCAGTTCCCATTGTGCAGATGGGGAAACTGGGGCCCAGAGAGGGAAGGCCTGGCCTATGAGTTGGGGCAGAGGCTGGACAAACACTCAGGTCTCCGCCCCTGTTGGAACCTTGGGGGAGAGGCAGGATTGGAGGAGACATCTTCGCTTTGTAAGAGCCCACCTGGGGCTTGAGGAGGGTCTATGGGAGTTGCCCACAGGTAGTCCTGGCAGAGTGCAGTGCAGGTGGGGAGGGAGAGGATTGCTGCTCACCAAAAGTCTTATTCTCAGGCAGAAAATAGGGTGCGTTGTCATTCACGTCCTCGATGGTGATGGGGAGGCTTCCTAGCAGACAAGGTTGGCGGGCTCTGGTTTCAAGGCCAACGCCTCGCCCAGAAAGCCTGGCCTTAGCCCTGCTCCCAGCAGCCTCCCTCCATGCACCGCCCATGCTGTCACCTCCCCTGCTCCAGATCCGGGATGTCCACTCAGTCTCCTCTGGCCTTTGTGGGAGGGAGTTTCCTTCCCAGACCTCAGAGAAAGTAAGCAACTTACCCAAGGTCACACAGCCAGAACAGTGGGCCAGGACTGAACCCAACCCAGGTATATCTCACCCAACCACAGCATTATACTGACACTTGCTAGCTGCATATGCCACGTTATTAAACTGCCCACTCTGTGCTTCAGTTTCCTCATCTATAAAATTGAATGGGGATCACCTACATCATGGGTTGTATGGGAGTAAAATGAAGACATGCTTTCAAGGTGACTGGCCTAGCTCTTGGCTGTAGTAAGAACTCAGTATATGCTAACTGTTAATATGGTTATCATTGCTACTTGGTGTCAAAGGTGGGATATGAGTACACATCTGACTCTGAAGTGTGCTCTTCCCTTTACACAACCTCACAAAATAATAGCACTAATTAACTGCTTACTATGTGCCAAACACGCTACCAAATGCTTTCCAGGCATGTTTTCATTTCATCTGCACAGCCAACCTACTACCCAACTCCATTTGACAGACAGGGAAACTGAGGCTTGGGGAGGTGTCACAACTTTCCCAGTGATACAGCTGGAAAGGGTTGGAGCCAGCATTTGAACCCAGACCTTGCAGGTTCCAGCCCAGGGCTCTTTCCCATGGCCCCTAAGCTGCAGCCTGCTGAGCCCTGCAGGCCAGGCTGCCTCACCATTGGCACTGTAGGCCTGGAAGCGGGGGTCCGTTGTGAGGTCATAGGCCCGCACGACCAGCGTGACCAGGTCACAGGTCTCATAGTCGATGGCCTCGCTCTGATTGATGAGCACAGAGCCATTGGCCAGCACAGAGAACCAGCCATGGCACAGGCTGCCCACGTCAACTTCAGCCTTAGTACAGATCACGTTCACAAGCTGCACCTCCAGCTGGGCAGCGGTGTCCACATCCCGGGCAACCACTTCAGCCACCAGGCCGTGCTGCGAGCCATTCTCAGCCACACGGATGCCCCGGAGTGAGGCCGCATCCAGCGTGGGTGGCTCATCGTTCACGTCCTCCACGGGCACAAAGATTCCTGCTGTGGCCTCAGCCCCCTGGGGGTCTGGGTTCTCAGCACTCACTGTCAGGTTGAAGGAGGCCTGGGTCTCATAGTCCAGGCTCACACCTGAGGCCAGCCTGAGGTAGCCCTCAGCCTGCCCAGACCCCAGCACTGAGCCTCGGATCATGAAGTTGTTGGCACCGCTCCCTGACAGACTGAAGCTGATGCGGTTGTTGGCTTCTGTCTGGTCTGCATCCCAGGCCTTCACCACACCCACCAGCACTCCTGTGACAAGGGGCAGAGCTTAGAGAGGCCCCTGACCTGGCTCCTGGAGGCGACCCCTGCTCTCACCTCCCTTGGGCGCTTCAGGCCCTCCCTGGGAGTGGTCGGATGCCACACTGGACTCCAGAACCTCATGCCCAGCCCGGCCCAGGGAGGACTTACCTGGGTCATTCTCTTTCACTGGGAAGGTGTAGTTCAACTGGTCGAAGACGGGCACATTATCATTGATGTCCTGCAGGCAGGGGCAGCTCTGAGTCCAGGGACCTTAGGAGCCCCCAGGGCTCAGCCTTCCCAGAGCCAATCTGAGAAACCAACACTTCCTCTGGCCCGAGGCACAGATTCTGTGGTCCCCTCAGACAGCACTGCCCACTTCACAGAGGAAGGAACAGCTTGTGAGAGGAAGGAATTAGCGCAGGTCTCACGCCTGGGGCTCAGAGGCCTGTGCGGGGACCTCTGAAGTTAAGTATACACTTTCAGGGAGCCTCATCTCCTCTCTGCTTCTCCAGCCACAGCTCAGAGCTGTCTTAGACCCTGTTCTCTGGAAGGACGGTTTCGTGTCCCCGCCTGTGTCCCTGGTCTGGCCAAGCTTGGCTCCCACCTCCTGGATTTTTGTGTTGGCACCAACACCGCTGTGTTTCCACAAACATCCTGGGACCCGAGCTTTCCCTCGTCCCCTCTTGTTCCTCCTGACCTCAGCTGACACCGGGCACTGGATGCTTGCTCTGTGCTCAGTCACCTGCCAGGGCTGAGACTTGGTCCTGCCCTCAGAAGCCCGCTGTTTTCTGTTCCTGCCGTCCCTCTCCAACGCTCGCCACCCCACACAAAGCGCTGCCACTGTTGTCACAGCATGGAGCCGACACTGCCTACCACTTCCGCCCCTAACACTGGTGTGTGCTGGGGGGGGCCTTGGCTTTTCCAGCCCTCCCCTGGGGAGCCCACAGGCACCTGCTTTTGCTTTCAGCTTTTTCTAGACAACGGTAGGATGAACATCTTAGAAAACAATGATGTTCCCCTTAATTAGACATATTTTCTGATGGTGATTTCCCAGGAATGGTGTGACTGGCTCAATGCACATGGCCCCTGCATTCTCGAGACTTTCTTAACTCGCAGGAGTGGCTAAGAGCACAGCTCTCTGTCAAATCCAACTCCACCTCTGCCTCACGTGGGACTTTGACTTCTCTGGGCTTCAATGTCTTCATCTGCAAAATGGGGTAGTAGTCCACGACCTATTCACTCCCTAAATGCAATTCTGCTTTCTTCCTTCTTTGTGGCCTCCTTCCACTCGAAGGCCAGTAGACAAGTCCTAATTCAGCTTCTGTTTCTCAATTTTCCCTGAGGAGTCACTCTGATCCTTGTAGGAAAGTGGCACTTCCCAACCCAATGGCACACAGGGCTGCTGTGTAAGGTGGGGGAGGCGGTGCACTGCACGACCCCTAGGGGGCGCCACCCACATCGTGGACATTTTAGAGATGCACATTTGTTACAGAACTTTCCTACAGGAAGGTAACTTTTGGGCTGGTAGCAGCCTTAGAACCAAACAGACTGGGTTCAAAACCCCATTTTATGACCCTAGGCGATCTACTCAACCTCTCTGCACCTCAGTTTCTTGGTCAAGAAAATGGCAATAACCACCACTACCTTGCAGGGCTAGGTGTGCAATAGACACTATAAATGCTGATTTTTGTCTCTTCTCTCTGCCCTTGAATGGTGGTGGAACATAGGAGGGTGTCAGGTAGATTTGTAAATGATAATTAGCGCTAATATTCACTGAGTGCCTTCTATGGGTCAGGCAATCTTTGAAGCACTTTCCATTTGTTAACTCGCTTTATGTTATTTTCATCTCCATTTTATATATGAGGAACTGTAGGGCACAGGGAGGCTGAGTAATTGCCTAGGGCCACACAACCAAGGAGCCAGGATTCTAACCTATCAGTCTGGCTCCAGACTTCTCCTACCCACCATACCACAAAGGGCAGAAATGTGACTCTAATTGGGGAGAGCTGAGGAGTTGGCCACCTGCTCAGAAGACCCCCAATCAGGGCCCATCCTGGCCCCATGCCCCTGGCTGAGCCAGGCCTTACCTCCACAGTGATGGTGACATTGACCTGAGTGCTGAGGGGAGACATGCCACGGTCAGCCACACGCACAGTCAGCACAATTCGGCCCCCCAGGGCAGGGTCGATGGCCTCTCTGTCCAGGGGCCCCAGGTTTCTGAGGAGCCCTGTGTCAGGGTCCACTGAGAAGTTGTGGCTGTAGGGACTGGGCAGCAGGCTAAAGTATAGATGGCTATTGTTGGTGCCTGGCTGGTCGTTGTCACGAGCCTGTGAAGATAAGCAGCGTGGGGCATCAGCCATCAGGTGCCCCCCAGCCTCCTGGCCACCCCCCTGCAGACTGGCCTCCCCTTCCAGCACT